ATTATTCTAAATTGTTGTGGTTCAAGAAGCTGCTGTTCCTATTTTTCACTGAAACATACTCAGTTTGAATGTAAAAACAAAGATCTACAAGGCAGCAATGTATGAAATTATTTTCCAGCTATGTAGCCTAAAGTGAAATGATGCTGTGATGAAATCAGTGTTTCGATTATCAGACCTTGCAAGTGAGAAGGCCATAAAACATCCCATCATTGCTGCAAGGCAGGTGAGAAGCGCAAAGCATAATCTGGTATGTATGTGGGCGTGCTGATCCTGTAGGTGCAAGGCAGCAGGGATGCTCCATGTGGGACAGTGACATCAACACCAGGGTGAGCAGGATGGAGGCTGGGGCAATGGCAATCTGACTGCAGCCTTCCAGCATCTCCTTCTTGAGCCGAGTTTTGCAGCTCACCTTCTCACACTATAGGCTTGTTGGGAATTTAATTGTAGGTTAGATGGTCGTGTCACCGAGCATCCTTACAACAGTCCATTAATAGTTAATGGTCAGACGTGTCCCAAAAGAAACAGTCTTACAGATGGAGTCTGGTGATATGTAAGTGACACGTTTGAGCCTCCTCCAGTCCCTGACTCGATGTGACAGTCACATCCCACGCTGCCAGCCTTCCCAAGGGGTTGGGGTGGTAAAGGCAGATGGCTTTAAATGATCCCTGTTAAGTCACTGACCCGTGAGTTTTGATAGGCTTGGCTGAGGTTAATGGTTTTGCTCTTCTCTGTGCAAAATGTTTTCGGTGGTATCGGTACTTTTGAGTTGGTTTTGAGACATTCAGTCATTTAAATGGTATATTTTACTAGAGAAAAAGAAAATATTGTTTGTGAGGTTTATGCTTGACACTGTATTTGTGCCATTTTTAATACCACGTGTTTAGCAGATCCTTGGATGACAGGTGGAATATTTCAGTAATTCAGGTATGAAACATTATCATCTAATAGGTAAATAACCAGACAAATCTACTAGTGTGTTTTTCACATCTTCTGTATGTTCCCATACAAATGTACTATTAGCATTTAAAATCTGTAACGTTTGATACTCAGCACATGCAGATGTAAAATGCCATAGCTAACAGTCACTATCATAAGAGACATTATTTAGAGTGCTTTGTTAGCCTTGAGTTGCTGAGTAGGCAGTTACCATGCAAAAATGGTAGCACATAGAGCAGAAATGTTTTTGATATTACCCTAACCTCATGCTGGCATGAAAAAAGGACCTTTTGCTGTAACCATCCAGATGTATTGGTCACAGTGAGTGAGGCCTAGGGTCAGGATCACGGCTTCCATTGGTAACTTGGTCTCCAGGAAATGAATTATTGTTTGGGCTCTTTTGTTGTGTTTGAAATGTGTCTTTTCAGACCTGTCAGTCAGTGCAGCTCTTGCCAGTGCAGTGTAAGTGCCCATTTAAGTAACATACAAAAGAGATTGACCTCAGAAACGTACAGCCAGTCCTACAGCCTCGGCTCTGATCTCATCAATAAAGCAGATCTGAATTATTCATGCAGGTTTTATGAGGATCATCTCTGAAAATGATCGATGGAGGTGAGACTACAGAACTCATTCCTCCTTTTTATACCCAGTTCATCTCCCAGTGGGATTACAGGAATGAAAACCAAAATTCATCTTCAGCACTGAATTGAGCATTTTAAGAAATTGCATTTTTTTTTTTGTTCATTTGGACTCTTCATATGCTATGTGATAAATTGTTCAGCAAATACTGAATATCTTAACTTCGTGATATTTTAGGTGCTTTGGAAGGTTAGATCTACTGGAACCTGTGCAATGCCTGTAGGAATGCAGCTCTAACCAGTAGCAAAGAATGTGTAGATATAAATGTGAGACAAATATGTGAGATATAAACTGAGACAAAATAGCAATTTCTATCTCCTCCCCCTCAAGTATTTAGGACTGCAGCTGTATCCCAAACAGATCTTTGGAAGTTTTTGCTGCTTCAAATTGATCAGCCAGATTAGCATTATGGATATGAGAGGCTGTTTAATATCTGGGATAGCTCTTTCAGTTTCCCTGTATGTCTGCAAACATCCTGCCCATTGCAATTAGAGGGCAATATTTAAATAAGAGCTCTCCAATCAAACTTGGGAATCCTTTATTTTAGCTCATTACTTTCCAAGCACTCTTGTATGGTAATGGAACACAGTTTGCTTTTGTTGTTGTGTGCATAAGATCTCCACGACTTTTTTTTGATGTGAGCATGCACTTGCATTGTTTATACTGCTGTAATGTAAATGTTGGAAGAACCTGAGACATTGGAGGATTCCCAGTGAGGCCGAAAGCATTGAAACCATTCTGCTGCAAGCTATTTCATTTTGACTCTAGGCTGCGGGCATCAACTGTGGGTGACCACAATTTGATGGCTGTAATGCTTGAAGAGGGCAAGCGGAGGCAGTGGCAGCAAGAAATCCAATTCTTGCTTACTGGGTGCTTGCCAGCCACAGTGACTAAGGGCTGGTTTTTTGTTCTAAAATAAGGGACGACTTCATAGCATGTGCTTTACAAAAAAGATGGTAAGATCAGTTCTGAGGCTGAGTTTCCATGAGGAAGGTGGCAAAGAAGTCAACCCAAGTTACTCCTCTTATTTCTTCCTGAGATTAATGCAGCAGGCTGGTAAGACCTCCAAGCCTCCAGATGAGAACAGGAGAACTGCTCCCCTGGCTGCTCCTTGCCTCTCCCACCTCTCGCCATCTGTACCTGCTGTAGACTGTTCACTGTGTTCTATTGACTGCCTTTCTATTTACTGCTTACTGGCCGTCTTCCAAGAGGTGAAAGAGATGGACTACAAGAATATTTCTAGTTATTTTGTACTCTATTATCATCATCATTTGGTGTCTTCTACAATCTATATCTTTTTTGCCTATTACATAAAAAAAAAAAACAACAAACCAACGAAGGATGCAGATGTAAAGATACAAAATATACTCTCAAGGCAAGCTCCCATTGATTACATAAGCTGGCAATTACCTTTTGGAATGTGTGAAAGTATGTTCCATCCTACAGCTTTTAATTCCTTGTTTTCCCAGAAACCAATTCTTCAGGCTGCAGTTGTATACTTGCGTGCCCAAGTGATGTGATGTAAATGTTGTTGTGTGCCCCCTAAATGATGAGCTGGGACCAACAGTTCTGCATCTCTAAGACCCACGTGTCCCTTCTTACCCTGTCTTCTCCTTGTCTGGAGCTCCAGAAGCATGGTATAGAAGATGCAACAGGCACTTCCCTTTGGCAGAGCCTGCCCACTGCTGGGTCTGTGCCTGCCACTGCTGGCAGTCTGTTCTGTGCTATGAACTTTATGGCAGTGGGGTTTTTTGTTTTTGTTTTTGTTTTCCTGTATACCCTTTATTTCTTAGAGAAATGACATTATGAATAGAGCTGGTTGAAATATGTAATTTCCTTGTCACAGGAAATCCTGTTGTTCTGGGAAAATCTTTTGGTATGCTTTAAAAGTACAGCTATGGTCTTAAAAATATCCTATGCAGGAGGATCCTGCATCCAGTATTTTCACTAGGGAAAGCTGAACTGGCTCAACACGGGATCTCATTGTCCTAGGATATGTGATGTAGGCCTTGGAGTAATGTGCTGGTGTGTGCTTGCAGGCTTTGTGCTCTCTGCCATACTCCAGGCAGTGGCAAAGAATGTTTTTCTGATACTGAGCTTCCTTTCAGATTTCTTTTTTCTTTTCTGTTGTCGTAATTGCTTCTCATGACAAACTCAGCAGCATTTGAATTATGGTTAAGGCAGTTCTTACTGGTTACATTGCTGCTTATGCTGGAGTGCATGTGAACATTAAATGTATTGGAGTCTTTCCAAGATTATTAAATATTGGCAAATCAAAGATGTGTGCTGAAGCTCAGGTGATACAGACAAACTCAAGAGGTAGGAATTGCCCTTACTTCTGCTGGTTTGGATGATAACATCATAGGTTTATTTTTATGACAGGAAATATTTCTCTACAAGGTAAATATCAAATTGCCTTTTTGCTTGGTGCTTCAACTTACGAGTTTTCTGAACCATCTCAGTGGATGTAGGAGGAAACATTGTTCTGTTGAATGACTATTGTGTAGCTTTGTTTATGGAAGTTCTTTGTTTCCAGCTCTTCTTAAAATGTTTCAACTCGGGGAACGATGCATCTCTGAAGGGATATAGTTCACATTGCTGCAGCCTGCCTCTTCCCATTCATCCATTCTGTAGCCTGATGACTGTGCGTGGTTTAAGCAATGACACAGAGAGGGCTTACAGCCATAGAAAGAATTGATACCCAGGCAGTTTTGATGAGTAGTTCTCTAGGAAGTGTTGTAAGCTTTGGGCAGACAAATTTCTCAGAAGGTGAGAAAACCACCTGAAGCATCTGGTGACACCAGGAAGAGGGGTCATGATGTTCTGCAGGGTCCCCTCTGTTGCTCAGGCTGGTGGAGGTGGTAGTGGGGTCTTTTCTTACCCAGCTCACAGGAGATTTCCTGCTGTGACAGATTTCAGCAAGTGTAATAGGATGCAAATCCTGTACTTGTACCTCTGCTGACATCGATCTGCTTAAAATAATCATGAGCTTTAATAAAGTGAGCAGAATCTGGCAGCTCTGAAGTATCGTTTGACTTCAACAAGGTGAGAGGAGTTCTCGTTGCAGCAGGATGGCTTGTGGGGTGCTTCTGGTTTAATTTCACAGCAGGTTTGGTCCCTACTGCACTGTCATGCTGAGTGTGGGCAGCCATGGGGACTGTAGTCCAGCCTTGAAAAGAATTGCAAGAAATGGGCAAATCCCTTTTCCTTCAGGAAACTGTCAATTTGAATGATTGCCAATACCAGGACTCAGCACATTTTATAGCTTGTCTCACCATGTCTAACTAACCTGTGTGTTTACTTTTTGAAAAGGGCTATGGGAAAATTCTGCTATTCCAAATACAACTTGTCTCCTCCAAACATGAGTCTTCACTCTACTCACTAGTCCTGCCTATTAAGGAAACTCTCTTGCTTGTTTTCCCCAGGAGCTCTGACTCAGAAGAAGCATTTGAGACCCCAGAATCCACTACACCAGTCAAGGCTCCTCCATCACCTCCACAGCCACCACCTGACACAGCAGCAGCCATCGTAGCAGACACAGCAGAGCAAGAAATAAAGCCTCAGCTGCCCCTGGAAGACACAGGTAACAAGCATGCAGTATGGGACAGGTTGCTGCAGGGAGGTGCTTGCATTAGCAGGGACAAGGAATGGATGCTAACAAAGTGTTTTCTGGAAGATTAATGAGTTTATACTCATCTTCATCCACTACAAGAGGATAAACCCAGTTGCTTGCTGGAATAAAGTACTAGAGAATCTGCCATAACATTTGACAAATAATAAAGAAAAGATGTACTTTCTAGAATATTTTTTTCCATTCCCTCCTCCCAGTATTTTAGGAGCTTTAGTAAGAGAGATGCAGGTGCTGTTAACAGTGACAGCTAACAAAATGTCACTTTCAGCTGTCATCTGAAGCAGAACAGAAAGAAGAGTAGAACATCGAACAATAGTAATGAGTTCTTTGGTGCAGTATAGGAGTAACAAAGCAGTACATGAGTGTGTGTGTAATACAGATACATGAAAATGGTATACACTGACAAAGGAACTTTCAAGAAGAGAATATTGAATTAAAAAAAAAAAAGAAACTTTTGCCTCCAAAAGAGTGTTCTTTGTTCTCCAAATTGAATAATAGAATATGAGGGAGTAGAAGCACTGTATTAGCCCAGATTAGCTTTGTTTGGGTTGTCTGATGACAGCTTCATCAATTTAAGATTGAATTCCCCATTATGCTGTCTATTTTCCTATCCAAAAGCCAAGTCATCTTGATTACCTGGCTAAACTGTGAAAAGGTGATTTTACTCAAAGCGGACTAAAGCTCACCTGTGTTTCATATGCATAATGGAGGCTTTTGAACTTTGGTTTCGACCTTAAGGGATATGACAAGTCTTGGAAATATCTTGAGCTATCCTTATCTCTGTCTATCTATAAAATATTTCTAGGGCTTATTCATGAAGTGCTCTTGAAGATTGTTGTTATGCTAAGAGTTTATAAGAACCTAGAAGGATGTTATAAGAACCCAGAAGGACAAACTGATCCCATAAAATAGAAATGAAATAATGAGATCTGGTAGTTTTTCCTTTACAGTTCTCTCTTCACTGTATCAAATGTTTCTCCATCTTCTTTCCTTTTTCTAATCTTAATTTCCATGATTACAAAATAAGTTAATTGCTGAGAGAACAAAAGAATGCATATGCTAAACAGGATTGGAGTGTGTTTTTAATTACTGCAGTGGATTATCTTCAAGGCCTTGATTACGCATGTGCTTCCCTGTCATGTGTGAGTCTTTTCTCCCTGTATCCCACATCTCCCCCTCCTTTCTGTCAGATATTCCTGAAGAAAGAGAGGAAACTGAATATATTTATTCAGAGCCAAACGTGAGCTATCTTAAAAGCCACTGGATGGCAGAGAGGAAAACATTTCATTTGCAAATGAGATTTTGTTCATGGGTGGCAAATTACTACAAACTGACAGAGCTCCAAAGTTATGCAATATGCAGTTATACAACAGGGTGATTTATGGGAGAAAAGAAAGATGTGTAATGCAGAAGAAAATCAAATGTAGGAGGGCAACACAAAGCATTCATTTGTTTCTGAAATCTTTTAGCAGAAATTAGGAATGTGAAGACTCTAATCGAGGTGTTTGCATGCTTCTTTGGAAATGTGACGTTTTAGTTGAATGTTTTGTACTCCATAAGCCACTAAGGAGCAGTTATCCTGCAGTTCTGTTACCTCGTGGGTTGTGCACGTGGCTGCACACAACAGTGAGCCCCTTTCTGGGGTTTAGGAGCAGCTGAAGGAGCGTTTCTCATTGCACCATACAGCTCACACAATAGCAATAAGGAAGACAGGCAGGCAAGGAGTCTGACTTGGGGTGCAAGGCAGCAATGGCTGGCCTCGTGTCTTTGTCTTCTGTGGGAGAGGTGGAAGGAGGGAGCACAGTCAGTGCTCGAAGGATTATTTCATCTGTATCTGACAGCAATTATTGATGCAGACGGTTGCAGTTATCCTGCCTGTTCTCATTAGCGCAACAGCTGGACCCCACTGCTGGAAAGCCAAGAGGAGAGTTTTTAATTAGAACGACTTCAAAGCTTAATAAATATGACGGGACCAAAATGCAGCTCGGTTCACCTGGCTTCATTCCAGCTCCCAGCAGTGTAAAACCTGCCTCGTGGCTGAGCCAGAGGCCTGAGGGTGAGGGGAGAAGGGCCAGGGGACATGGATGGCCTCAGGGAGCAGCACGTGGTGGGAGCTGCAAACCCTGCAGCCTTTTCTGTGCTACAACCTACTCATCTCTAATGGGAGACCTATCTCCAGTTCCTTCCTGTGCCAGCGGAGTGGAAGTCAGCATTTACAGTACAGAGATGATGACCCAGGCAAAAGCAAGCTGAATTTTTGGTATAGAAAACTTTTTTTTTTTTTTCCCCCCTCTCCAAGCCTGGCACAGGAAAATTGAAAATAAACTTTATATCCAAATTTTTTCCCAGAATAAATGGCTGGAGTATTTTTACAGTAATCTTAAAAATAATGCTACCAACTGATTTCATAACTTCAAAGACTTCTTGTAACAAGCAGGAACTTGAAATAAGCAGTGTTTGATTATGTGTAATATGAAGTAATTCCAATTCCTGTATGCTACAGGCAAAGTGTACTTGTCTGGTGAGTTATTTCTTTATTACAGAGAGTGTGGGTATGTGCTGAATGCATTTTCCAGAGGTCTCCTTTTGCCTCTTTTTCTCAGGGAAGCAGAAATAGAGTTGAATTTCTTCTTGCTTTATTAGATCTGGTCAGGTTTTGTTTCTACATCTTTCAAAATAGCGTTTTGCTTTGCTTCCAAGTCAGCAGCGTTAAGGCTTTTTATTTTTCAGTCCAAGCCTATTGGATTTCACTCTTATTTTAGAGACATATCAACAAAGAACAAAACACTCTACTGTCCTAGCATGCAGTGCAGCTCTAGCACTGGAATTGAACATAATTTAAGGCGTAAGGTAAAAGCAGCTGGAATTTCTTGACTCTATTTTCTCAATAGATTTTCATTATTCATAAAGAAGCAGCTAAGATTTAGATTCAACAAGCTGGTAGCTGGTGGAGATACGTCATTTCTTTTCTGCTTAAAATATCTTTAAAGCATATTGGAAGATGCTTCCGTGGTTTTTGGAAGCGTTCCTTCGCCTGAGGTGACACTGCCTGTGTTTGGTACAGATTCCCTGGCTGCAGCTCTCATCCCAAGGGCTCACTGCCTGGCTTCACAAAGCCTCAGCTTTTGTTGGTTTGGGGATTTTTCTTACCCAATCCAGGCAGTTCCTCCGCAGTCAGAAAGCTGTCCGCATGGAAGGAGCAGTGTGTGGACCTTCTTTGTAATGAGGTGAAGTGGGAGCTTTCTTTTGGGACTCGCCTGTTTGTTTGGGACAAAAGAAATTTCCCTGCTATCACCTGTGCTCCTTAAAATAATTACTAACTACTTGAGGGCGTTTCTTATGGGTGTTATTTTGTATGAGTGTCAGTATCTTGCTGTGGGCCCCTAAAAGTCCTTGTTCAAGATGTTATGCTTCTCTCCATGGCAAATCCTGCCTTCTTTTGCATAGTGCATTCCTCTGCCATCAAGCTATGTTTTAATGAAATACTGTAATTAGCAAGACTGTTTTGCTTAATCTTGTGATGTAAGAAAGCAAATGGCACTGTGCTCCAGGTATGATTTTAACATCAGGAAAGAATGCTCTTAATATGTCTTTGTAGCAGTACAATGTTGTGTTGCTCTGCAATATGTACTGTTCACTCTTCCCCTCCCATATTCCTGCTGCTACCAGGGTGGAGTTGTGTCACTTGTGGTGCTGGAGGAATCAAGCAGCAGCTCTGCATTTCTTCCAGAAGCCCTGTTTTCTCTATTTCACGTATTGTTCCATACAGAAACAATAGAAACATCACAGCAGCGAGTCGAGCTGCGCTCTGCAGAAATCTGTACTGAGTTTGGTTTGAAGGAAACTGTGAAATAAGCAATTAAACAGCTTAAAACTCTGCATTATGTGGAGCATGCCGAATCTGAATGCTGTTCTACTGTGAGCGTGGAAGGCGTTGTACCTTCATTTGCTGCTGTGATCTGTTCCCAACCTCAGCTGTGCTGAGCCAGTCTTCTACATTCCAAGTCCTGCAGAACACTGATTTATATATACATATAATCTTTGTACTGACTTTAAACAAGAGACCTCAACCCTAGTGAGGCCTTCAGCATGTGCAGGAATGAAAATAGCACATAATTTCAGAAGACTGTGTTCAGATCTCCCTTTTATTTCAAGCTGACCTAGATCTGGGCTCTGCTGACTTGTTAGAGCTATGCAAGTGTTTATTGCTCTGTATTCCTGCTAAGTGTCTTCCATTCCATTTTGATGTAAAATGCACGGATGAGTATAATGTGGGCTTTTATGACACTATTTGAGTCTGACCAGTGTCAGAAGTGAGAGATGTGTGTGAGAAACTCAGCAAATTGTGTTTAATTAGTGACCATTCTGCCAGCCTGAAACCACGGACAACCCAGAGGAGATGAGGGAAATAATAAACTGTCCTGAAGTACTGCCAAGTTATTAGCATTCATTTCAGAAAAAACAAAACAACCACAATAAAACAATGTTTTTAATTCATGTAACTCAGTAAAATCCTATTCCTCAAAGACAATCCATCTTGCTGTCATTCCTTTGAAAATGTCTGAATATACTTTGTGCTGCTCTAAAGAAATGTATCTGATTCCCTAAAATTTCTTCTGTTCTCAGCATGCTTAAACAATAATTTCTATATGGACATAAAATTTCCTCTGAAATAAAGGAAAAAATGATCATCGTCTGTTCATCATCCACTCATGCCTTCTAACTAAAAGTACTTATTGATTCTCTGCCTGTATTGCTCTTATGGAAAAGATTAATGAACGGAGCTGGGCAAAATGGGAATTTGTTTTGCAAAACGTGTCAGGATTGAAGTGAAAAAGATGCATAGAAATTTTGCTGAAACCACTTAAGAATGAGCGAAGAACTCATTTGAAGTTGGCAACATGAAAAATGCTATGTTGCTCAATAGGAAAAACTGAAGTATTTTCTTTCAGTGCTCATCAGCAAGAGCTCAGCTGCTAAGTACAGACGAGCCAGCTAAGCATAGCCTGGGTAGGGAACTGAAGATTTCTGAGCTCTGCACACCTTGGCTGTGGTACGTGCATGTTGGTGGAGGTGGCAGTGAGGTTCAGACACAGAACAGTGCAGTGGCAGCAGGAGTAACCCGTATTCGGGATCAGTAAGTCATTCTAGTAATGAATTTTCATGACATAGAAGGCAGAAAGGACTGTTATCTTAATCCTTTCTTACTATTGTATTTTTTGTCCTTTCGATATACACTGTGTGCTTGTCTGTTTTGTCCAATATAATTGTTAAGTCAAGAGAGCTCAACAGAACCTTTTAGGATTCTATTCAGCAAGCAAATGCTCATCTACAATGAAAAGATTCTCTTTTCATTCAACTGTTGGACAGTTTTAGAATATAATTTTCCCTTCATCGTTGAATTAGGACTACCCTTTGAGAAATGTTTTGAATAATCAGTAGGGAGCATGTAATGGTTGTTCTTATGGAAGATATGCAACTGAGAATATTTGTACAGTTGTCTAATTGATTTCTTTTTTAATCTTTAACATAATCTGTTTCATACAGAATTCTTAGTGATTGATGTTCCATTATAAACTTGGAATTAATGAGGTCAAAGTGGAACGTATTGACTGCTTAAGGCAGACAGGAGCAGCCTTGATGTCTCGTGGAGAGGAAGCCATGTGCCATTGTTTTTTCCTCTGGGAAATAAGTAAAAATAGAACATGGGAAACAAAACTTAATATGAACATGTAATTGCTGAAGCACTGGCCAAATTGTAAGGAAATTTATTGCAAAAGGACATTTGAAATTCACTCTTTTCTGTTTGTTTCCACAGGATTACCTCCTGAAACTGTCCCTGTAACTGATGTGTCACACAGTGAGTCAGTTGAAGAAAGCCCTTTCCGTCCCCCTTGTCATTCTTTCTCCACCGTCTTCGATGAGGACAAGCCAATAGCCAGCAGTGGAACTTACAACTTGGACTTTGATAACATTGAGCTGATTGATTCTCTCCATGCCTTAGGACCGAGCTCTCCAGAATTGAAGCATCGTGACCCCAAAGCGAATGTTCGAAGAAAATCTACCGATTCAGTGCCAGTTTCCAAATCTACATTATCTCGGTCCCTTAGCTTGCAAGCTAGTGATTTTGATGGAGCATCCTACCTTGGCAACAGCGAGACACTAGCGCCGGCAGCAGATGCTTATGGTACTGGTTCAAGCAGTGCTTCCAGTACCCTTAAGCGAACAAAGAAATCCAGGCCCGCTTCCTTAAAAAAGAAGCAGCCAGCAAAAAAATCCCTGGATGCTCCGCTGGTGAAGGAAGCGCCACAAGAACCTCCTGACCTTGGCCAAGCAGCTTCTGCAGGTGAGGAGAAACCAGCACCTGAAGCAAAAGCTGACTCAGTAAAACCCGAGTATACTGACCCTTCTAAAACCTCTGCTGAGAAACAGGAGGCCTCGGCTGTGCCTGAGGGATCCTACCCTTTGGATCCAGACAATTTGGAAGGGATTAGTGCTTTTAGCACTGGAGGCAGCAAAGTGCAAAACTCACCCCCTGCCAATAAGAAAACGCTACCTCTTACACCTGCACCGGAGGCTGGGGAGGTGACTCCGTCGGACACTGGGGGGCAAGAGGATCCTCCAGCCAAAGGTGTTGTGGTGAGGCTGGAATTTGATTATTCGGAAGAAAAAGGGATTGGTGAAGAGCAGCAGGAGAGCGCTCCTCCTCCTAAAAAAGCAGGTAAAAAGCCTGGTGCTAAAATGCCGCTACGGAGGCCAAAGACTAAAAAGTCAGTGGAAAAGCTTGACAATGCTCCGACCACACCGACAAAGACACCCACTGATCCAAACGAAATCCCTATCACAAAAGGATCCTACACTTTTGATATTGACAAGTGGGATGATCCCAATTTTAACCCGTTCTCCTCTAGTACAAAAATGCAAGAATCTCCCAAACTGCCTCAGCAAACGTACAGTTTTGATCCAGACGTGTGCGAGGACTCCATTGACCCTTTCAAGTCTTCTTCTAAGATTGCCAACTCACCCACTAAATCTCCAGCCTCCTTTGAGATACCAGCCAGTGCCAACGAAACAAACGGAACTGATGGAGACAACTTGAATAAACCTGCAAAAAAGAAGAAGACGCCACTAAAGACGTAAGTTAAAGGGCTCAGATGTTTCTGGAGTTGAAGCAGCACACTCCTACCCATAGTACAGTTAGAGTAGTTTTGTCTTTGACAAGAGAAAGGAAGATGCTGTTGAGTGCTGTTTACTGCACGACTGACTCATTTCTGTACACGCTTTCCCTCAGCCTGTTACCTCCATAGCTTGGCATTTCCAGATCAAAAGGGAGAACCAGCAGTGAATCAATCCTGATGAGGTCACTGGTCTGGGAATTGAGTTTTTGAATTTTGGGGTCCAGTGTAGCTTTGAATCTGATTAAGTCCAAATTTTATCAATTTTGTGTCAAGTTTTTTGGTAACCTCGTTTTGGAATTTGAAACTGTTTAAGATAATTCACACCAGTAAAGAGTATTTTATGAATCATAGTTTTTGAGTGAGGAATGAAACAGTAAGGCAAGAATAAATCCTCTATTGTACACGGCAAGTTTTATCCAGTGACTTATAGTATTTTGGTAAAACTGAGCAATTTGAAGATTATGTAGTTAATGTAAAGCCTGCAAAGAATGTCTTCCCTAAAGGAGTAGGGAGGAGGTCATAACCAATATGCAGAATTCTGACTGCAAGAAAGGAACAACTTGAGTTGCACTTGGGAAAAGAAGGGAATTTTTATGTCGCCAGACCCTAAAGTCCAGTATTTATAGCCAGCCAGAGCCTCCTTGTGTTGTCCAGGAGCTGGACCCCTGGTATAAGCTTCTTGGGTCCACCCAGCTGCTCTGAATATCAGAACCAATTCCAAAGATGCTGATTTTGAGGCGATGTGAATTTAAAAGGAGTTTGCAGATTTTTATAATCTTTTTTTCAGAAGGTCTATAAGAATTTTCCGCTCCTGTTTGGGACTTCTTTCACGGCAGTATAATAGATATCTGCTCACTGCAGCCCTATAACCTACTTTTGCAAGTGGTTTCTAACAAAGGGGATCTGCATGTTAATGCGCAGTGCTGCCTGCAGCTCTAACACTTTCTAGAAGAAAATTGGCCTAAAGCTTGCTGGAGGATGCCGTGGGAGGCAGAGGCTATATTTGTCTCTGCCTGTCACTGCTCTCTCTGTAACAAGGCCCCTCAGTGTGACTCTTCTATGGGATCCAGGGCAGGAGAACCCAGCCTGGGCAAAGATACTGCCTGTTGGACCCTCCTTGGTGGTGCCTCCTCAATAGGATAGGAGAGAGAAGCCAGTGCAAAACACTGCTCTGAGCTGCTGACAGGTGTTGGAATTAGAAATGATACTGTCATATATCCAAATTAAAGAATTTTGCCAAGCCAGGTTTTTTGTTGTTGTTTGCTTGTTTGTTTTCTGTTGAGAGTTGCAGAAATAAAATTCCATGGGCTAGATTGAGAACGTGTTCATCGTACAGAAAGACTGCTGTTGTTAGATGAGACTTATTAGAGGTGCAGAAGGCAGGCATGTGCTGTACACATGGAAACACGAGGTTTCTAGAATGGACATCAGCTTGATGCAGATCACTCTCTGTTCACATGCTGAAGTGCTGAGCTGTTTTGTGATGGATCATCTTGCTCAGATGAAAGTGAACAAAGAGCAGCTGATGCCTCCTCAGTCCCTGCTGGATGCTGTATCCAGATAGGTGGTTTGTGTCGACTCCCAAAGGTGCTGGGTGGTTGGAGGCTGTGCTTCAGGAGCCTCACACGTGAGGAATGGAGCAGGAGCTGCCAGGCTAAGTAGTAGTGGTTTCCTTAAGCTTAATTGCCATTCCAGACAGTCTGACATCCCTTATCCCTAACAAGCAGTAGTGTGCTTTGAGAAGAAAGCAGGTGGCTGCCATCAGGGAAGGCAAGAATGGTTCATTTGTTGATGAGAATTTAGCTCAGTATCTTCATCTTTGACAAATGTGCTTTGTAAGATGAACGCATGCCTGAAGCATAACGTTAAACTTAAAGAGTAAAAACCTTAAGTATTAATATTTTTTCTTCTGAAACTGTTGCTCAATAAAAAGTAGAGGTTCTGCAGGTAGAAGATATGCATGATCAGATTGCAGTAACACATTAACAGTATTTGTAGGTTTATCTTTTTTGTCAGTTCCTTCTGTCTGTCTCTCTTTTCTTTGTCTTATTTGTCTTAGGATGGTAGAAGATGTGATGTCTGTATGTTCTCTGTTGTAAGTAATTCTAAGCTAACATTTCAATTTTCTTCTTTGATTTATGGGCTTTTTAATTTTACTTGTTTATTTTGCAGCATGATCAGTTATTATTCAGCATGAAGCTCTTGTGTTAACTGTATCACTTCACTGGCACATATGAAAGCTTGTTTAAGGAAAGTGCCCGTCTGTGAATGACTTAGAGGAGTCTAATGCCTCATTATCTGTTTGCCTGTCAAAGATGATCCTCTTTTAAAAACTGCAGAATTCCCATCCTTGAGATAATATAGCAGAGTTTTATTCCTACCATCACACAAAAACATTGTACAATCCATCTTTCTTAAATACTGCATAAAGTATTTCTCCTTAAGGGAATAACTTGTCCTAATTATTTCTAGCATCCTAACTAGATAATTAGTAGCATTGAACACCCTAATATTCAGCTACCCAATTAATTTTTCCCTATAGAAGTGGTATTGATTTACCCTCTTCCAATTGAAAGCCACCATTACAATTCACAGTGCTGACCTTGCCACTCATTGACAGGAATGAGTTGATGGGCAGTAACTTTTGCCACTGCCCCTCGAGTTCTTACATTAAATTTCTATCAGTGAGTTGGGTGTGATGTTTTCTGCTGCTTCTAGTGTTTGAACAGCTGTGGCAACATGCATAAAGAGTAGGTAATTGGTTGATGTCCTTGTTAAAAAAGGCTTTAAACCAACTGTGAAGAAAGATAAAGCCAACATTTATAGTTATGCACTTCCATATAACATAAATTCTTCATTCTCTTTGCCTGATTTAAACCTGTGGGATTTTTGGAGGGCTACAGTGTCTGCACTCCTGGTTTGCATTGTGAGTTGTTGGGCAGTGGAAGCAGCATTGCCATATTTGATGCTGTATTTGTTTCAGTCATAGAATGGCCAGGGTTGGAAGGGGCCTCAAGGATCGTCAAGCTCCAACTCCCCCACCACAGGCAGGGCCACCAACCTCCATATCTACTACTAGACCAGGCTGCCCAGGGCCCCATCCAACCTGGCCTTGAACACCTCCAGGGATGGATGGGGCATTCACAGCCTCTCTGGGCAGCTGTTCCAGCACCTCACCACTCTCTCTGTAAAGAACTTCCTCCTGACATCCAACCTAAATCTTCCCTCCCTCAACTTAAAACCATTTTCACTTATCCTGCTATTATCTACCTTTGTAAAGAGCCGACTCCCCTCCTGTTTGTAGCCAACCTGTAGGTACTGGAAGGCTGCAGTGAGGGGGGATATTTCAAAGGGAGACATTTGTTGTGTTTGTTGGTAAGGATGGAACTTTGTGCTGGAATCTCAGCAATGGCATTGTCCTCAGCCTTTTTTTATGTCCTTCACCAAAGCATACCCATTTCTTTCTCATCTTCATGACTGGTGGGGTGGTTGGAGCTTACTGACTGAGTCTGTCAGGTTTAACTCCCAGGTCATTCCTGTAAATATGTATTTGGGGCTTTATTTTTGGATGGGAAACTGGAGCAGACAGAAGTTAAATAATTTGCTTAAGGCCACTCACTGCTCTGTGGTGGAGCAGAGATTTGAATTGCAATGGAGCAACAGCTCTGTTTTGTAAATAACATTCTGTCAGTAGTTAGCAGGAAAAAAAACCCACATTTTTTTCTGTGAATTTAGAAATATGGCAATCCTGCTTTTCTCAGCTTTTTGAGAATCAAGGTCTGTTCCAAATGCATGACAGAAGTCTGTACCTCCAGCATGTTTCTCTGTGGTGCTGCTGCCTAATGGATGGGATTTAAAAGCAGAAGGGCTTACAGAGAATGCACTTTCTGTAGCTGTCTCTTGCTAAGTGTGAAATGACCCATTTCTTTCTGCTATTACCATGCTAACTGTCTTAACTTTGTTTTTAGTGATACATTTAGGGTGAAAAAATCACCAAAAAGATCTCCACTATCTGATCCTCCTTCTCAGGTAAAGTACTGCATCATTGTGATACGTATATTCTTGCAGGGGTGAAGAGGAGACATTTTGATTTACAATTGTACATTTAATAATTGAAGAACTTTGGTAAAGAATGTAAGCATACTGGCATCAAAGTAGAATGTGTGGGGCTGTGATCATGAGGTATTAAGCTTTTGGCATCTATGCAGTATATATTACTCTGGGAATCCCAATTAGGGTATTATTGAGTATGCTTTGAAATGGCCTACATTAAAAGAAAAATGAAGCCAACTATCCACCTTGGAGTTTTCATATTCAGAAGTAAGAAGCTAGATGCACAAAGCTTGCGGGCTGCAAGGAAAACAGAAGTAAAACAAGTGGGCTGGTGTAGCAGGAGCACGTGCTTGGACGGCTCTATTCCTTGCTGTAAACAGCCGGCAGGTGGTTCCCTTGGAAGGGAGTTAACAAAAGCTCTCTGTGCGTAAAGGCCCAACTGCTTTGATGCAGCACTGCTCCTTCCACGCTGCTGCCTGCCTTCTTTTGCCCCATCCTGCCCCCTCATTGATGCAGGTTGATGGTATAGAAGTGCAGAAGGGGTTTGTGACCTCGCAGCCCTACACAGACTTGCTCCTGCAAGGAAGGCCTAAAAAATCAGCTTTGCTCCTCAAAGACTTCACTCCTGACAGTGGGTGCAGCTTCTGTCAAGTGCTTAAAGGGTTTAAACGGCTCCAGATTTTCTTTCTGCCTTGTTATCAAGGCAGCTTTGCAGTGTGAGTGTTCATCATCAAAGAGCTCAGTAATAGGAGGAAGGCTTGTTGCTAGGGCACTTCTAAATGCAGCACTTTAATGTTTTTCAGTAAGCATTTTAGACATGGCTGCAATGAAGAGCGTGGAATTAAAAGGATGACTGCAGTCAGGTGGAGGAATTCAGAGTTGACCATGCAATTTCTTGATGTAAGATAACAGAATTAATCAGCCCTGTTTTCTACAGGATCCCACCCCACTGCCTACCCCAGAAACGCCTCCTGTCATATCTGCAGTGGTTCATGCAACAGATGAGGAGAAACTGGCGGTGACCAGCCAGAAATGGACCTGCATGACTGTGGACCTGAGCACGGACAAGCAGGATTACCCACAGCCCTCTGATCTGTCCACATTTGTCAATGAGACCAAGTTCAGCTCTCCTACAGAGGGTATGCTGTATTCTGACTGGGCTGTCTGCATCCAGCTGGTGTTATTTTGGGGAACTCTAAAATTGGTGCTCTTTGGATCAGGTTGAGGAGCTTGGCAGTTATGGGGGGCTGAATAAATGACCCCAGTAGTCACATCTTGAGTTTTCAAGTGAGGGTAGAGAGGCAGCTTAAATGAAAGTGAAAGAGCCCTTCAGAGAACAGTGACTTTTGCTTTCTTTTTATGATTGCTTATAGACTTGCTGTGTTCTTTGGGTGCTGCCTGTGTTTTCACAGGGCTGAACTGCTCTCTGCCAGTGCTCTTAGATCTGGGCTCACTGCAGCAAGGATTTTGCCCGAGCTTGTGTCTATAATGTGAATGGGAGAAAGTGTGCTCAAAGTTTGTACATTAGGGCCCTTAAATTACACCTCCCTTCAGGCTGCTGGGATCCAGGTTTCTATATGCACAGAAATACCCAGGATATCCTTTGGGCAGGATAGTAATTCAGGTGCCAAGTCAAATCACCTTAAGTGTCAGCCTAAGATCTTTTTTCTGGTACCTTAGTATAAGCAATTGTGAGACAAAGCTGGAGCTTTCTGTGGTGAGAGTTGTCTCATCACAGTGGTCTGTGAAATGTGGAAGAGAGAATTTAGCCACTTGGAAACCTGTGTGTGGCCTTGGCTGGGGTTAGCAGAGGAAGCACTGCTCTGCAACATCTGCTCAGAGGGCAAATTTTCAGCTTTGAGGGTGGGAGGAATGCATGAGTTTACCTTGGCTTAAAGTTTTTCCTCTCGATCAGATTTCCTTATTTTTCCTAACCTTTTAACCTGAGTCCCCAGCTAACACTAAAGCTGTTCTATACCATTTGAAGAGTTTTTGCTTGATTAAGAACTGCTAAGCTTTTAGGTCAAATGTGTTTGATATTAAAAGGCATGAATGATAAAGCTGCTTTTAATGGGGCTGCACATGTTCATGCACACGTGCGTATGTGTTTGCACAGCCTGGACTTCATGGAAATCTGTTGAGTCTTCTGTTGAGATAAGGATTTCAGCCTGTATTAATACGTTTGATTTTATGATCAAATGAGAAATTCTTTTAATTTTTTTTTTTAAAGCCAAGGAATATTTTTTTTGAAAATAACCTCCCAAAAAATCTTGGAAAATGGAAATTGTATGAAAGGAAATGGAACAAAAGGATAGTAAGAGACTCTAAAGCAATCACTTGAGCTATCAAAGTGGAAGAAGAAAGTGTGGAAAGCTCCTAATTAAATGCTAATTGTCTCATCTTGTGTGCTGCATGGTACAGTTGGAGTTTCAGCTTACATGCTAATTATAATCAACAACGCTTCCGCTTTTCAGATCTCTTAAAAATAATCATTTTCTTCCCTTGGCAGTCTTACTACTGCTGCTTTGAGGAATGTTTGAGCAGTTCCAGTGCTGTTTCTCAGTGCTGTTTCTCTTTTACCCCTCCCAGACATGGTGTGACTGTTACCCTGTAACCTAACACTGCTTTTGTACCGATGCAGCCCAACCACAGAGTCAGCCTGCACATCCAGCACTCGTCTGTTGCACTCTGCTTGTAGCTGCTGCCATTTTTATTATTATTATTATTTTGGCCATTTTGCAGACCAGAAATAGGCAGTAATTATTAGCAGAAAGTTCTGGTGTAACCGTGCAGCTATTTGTAGGAGGAGTTGGAGAGCATCACTTAGTAAGTCTGCCGTATGCATTTATAAAAGATAATTATCTTACCTCGTATGATATCCTGGGCATTTGTAGATTTTGAATGCATGGAGATAACTGGACTGTAAGATTCTGAAGGGGAGATGGTATCTTAGAGGTGATACCTGGGAGAGGAGATGCTATCTAATTTTGAGTCCAATGAGACGAAGCTACACTGTGTTTAGCAAGCCACGTTGTTCCTTTTGTTCCTTGGTGCTTCCTTAGTAAAATTGTGTGCTATCCCAGAAGCAAGCTGGGGCTGAAAGCAGCTGCAGGGTGACAACTCCCCATGGCAGCAGAGGATGGAGGTGGCACAGCTATGCTGCACAGTCTGCTTCTGGGCTTCTTTGGGGTTGGTTGGGCTGTGAAACTTCCCCACAAATCCTGTGCTGCTCCTTGTTGGGCTATAGGAAGTATATGAAATGTTTCTTCATTTCTCCTGCAGTGCAATGTCCGGCAGGTTGTTATCATCTCCTTGTTTCAGTTTTGGTTTTGCTTTCGCTAGGAAGAAATTCGTGTCTGATACCTGGAGGTTGTCTGCCTCACCTGGCTTCTTATTACCATTAAAACACATGGTGCCAGGAATTTAAAGCAGCCAGGAGCCTATCATAGCTTTCTCTTAGGTGTTTTAGTATTAATATCTCCCAAATGTCATTTTATGTGAGTTTGTGGTTGTTTTACAAAATACATAGGTTGTGGAATTGCACTGCTTGTACTCTCTGATGCTTTTTACTTAAAAAAAAAAACAAAACAAAAAAAACTAAGAATGTAAGATATTTTTTTTTAGGTTTGGTTTTGCTTGTAAAGCATAAATGTTCTAATGATGTCTTTCATCTTCCTGATACAAGCCCTGCTTTTCAAAAGCTGCCCAAATCTATAGGAACTTTTGTACATGCTTTTATCTCAGTGTAAATGCATACACTAGGGCCTCTCTATAATGGAAATGTGATAAGTGGTTTATTGGGTTAGACTCATGGTAACAGAGTAAAATATGGAATTTGGGCAAATTAATTATGGTTTTAATTTTTAAGTTATGGTGTAACTGAACAGAATCTTTGTTTTTGCTTGGGTCCAGGAAGATATGCTCTGCTTTCCGGGAGGGGTAACAGCTGTTTACATGGGTGGGTAGTGACAGGACAAGGGGCAATGCTCTTAAACTGAGACAGGGGAGGTTTAGGTTGGATATTAGGAGGAAGTTTTTCACTCACAGGGTGGTGACACACTGGAACAGGTTGCCCAAGGAGGCTGTGGATGCCCCATCCCTGCAGGCATTCAAGGCCAGGCTGGATGTGGCTCTGGGCAGCCTGGTCTGCTGGTTGGTGACCTGCACACAGCAGGGGGTTGGAACTGGGTGAGCATTGTGGTCCTTTTCAACCCAGACCGTTCTGTGATTCTATGATTATGATTCTATGATTCCATCTGGCTGTGTTTTATCCATCCTCCTCTCTCAGCTCACCACTGGCTGATGATGGATTAGAAAGAAATCTGGTTATTCCCTCCAGTGTAATTAGAAGATCAGAAGGAGAGCAGCAGCAAAGATTTGCATTTTTATTAGGGTCTAGATTTAGGGCTCTTCATAAACCTTCCCACCTTAGGCTTTTCCTCCATGACTAAAATGAGACAATAGCCAAGCAAGCTGGGCTGTGGTCTCAGCCCTGCTCAGTGAGCGTGCAGGTATTTGGTGCATCTTTCTTATCTCAAGTGATACTACAGTTGTTGTTCTTAATTAAGAACTATGTGATATACATTAAGAAGCATATTATTTCATTTCATAACAGCTTGCTACACCTTTTTGCATACTTGAAAGGCACATGGTATCAACGTTACCAGTAATTGAAAAGTGTGTTTTCTGTGATAAGATAGAGGAAAGTTATCTGCTCTGAAAGTGCTCTGGAACTGTGTTAATATTCTGGGTGCTGAGGCAGAATGCTGGGTAAGCTGATAAAGCAGACTTTTTTCTGGCAAATACGTTTGCTTGAAATGTGTCATAGGTTCACTGCTGAAAATCAATGAAAGTACATCTTCTGCTTTCTCTCTGTATATTCTATTTTTAATATCTCATAGGAAAGTGTTCGGAGTGGAAGCGGCCCTTGTAAATGAGAATGTATCTCATCTACTTATGCAAAACTCATTTAATGGTGTGTATCTAATGGCTCTTTTTTTGTTTCTGTTGCAGAATTGGAATATGGCAACTCATATGAAATAGAATATATGGAGAAAATAGGCTCCTCTGTGCCTGTAAGTTCTCACCCCATTTCCATTCATTTGCATTCCCCTGTTATAATGCACTGTCTTGATAATGCCATCAACCTCACTACCTCTTAAATTAATTATAAAGTGCCTGCAGCAGATTTGCAAACCCAGTTTCTTTTAAATTGGCATAACTGGGGTAAATTGCATGTGCTGTGTTGTCCTATATCTTGTAGAGCTTGTTCCATTTTATTTTATTTTAAGCTAGGATCATAGCATTTCTTTCTGGAGACTAAAAGGAGCTCAGTAGTTCCAGCAGTGTAGAACACAGAGCTGTCTGCACCAGCTTCTGAACTATTTTAAGAAATGGAGAGCAGAACTTTAAAGAAGATGGAGAGAATCCTGGGAGAATACAGAATGAATGTCAAATATGGAATGCAACACTATATGTTGTCATCAGATGTTTGTCTTTCTGTTCAATTCATGGATTTGGTAGCTTGACAAGATCCAGTGGGGACTTACAAAAGCCAGGGGTTTGTGTCAAGTCCATAAACTAATGAGAATAACGTTGTATTCAATGAATATTTTGGTAACTTTCAGTCAACAGATGCCTCCAGCCTGACAGAACCAGAAATCTGATTAACCCCAAAGAGGGAGAGAAAGAACCATTACAAAGAGCGAACTGCTTAGGTTATGTTCTTCATCGATTTCTTCCTGAAAGGGATCATTTTTTATCAGTATCACTTAGCATAGGGAGGATTACAGTCCTGTATCGTTAGCTGTTTGTCAAGTCATTCGGTCACTTAAGGCAGTAAATTAGCTTTAATGGAGAACAGCTGAATTGCTTAATGAGTTTTTCTCTTCCTGTTGCCAGCAGGATGATAGCACCCCGAAGAAACAATCTTTATACCTAATGTTTGATGCACAGCAAGAGAGCCCAGTCAAATCGCCTCCCGTCAGACTGTCCGATTCCACCACGCCATGCTCAGGGTATGTCACTGCAAGGAAAGGCAGCAGTGGAAAAGGATGTCAGGGAAATAGGTTGCCATCCCAACACACAGGCAGTTATTCCTCTTTTCTGCTTCTCTGTTGCAGAGTTGTTTGTTTATAAATAGATTCCCATCTGTGTACACATATGACAGAGAACAGAGGGCAAAGGTACAGACGTTGTGCAATGGGAAGGAATAAGGACATGTATTTCTCCTTTATATTCTTACTGAATGGAGTCAGTCATAGTGGCAACAGTTTCACAAGGCTGTGGCTTCTTCCTTAGGTTTTTATTCTCAGATACTGAGGTCATTTTCATGTCAATCTAGAAACTTCATTTATTAATTGCAACTTCTCATTTGGTCTCTCCACGCTATATTTTCTAGAAAGTGAGTCTCGTTCATAAGAACAGCATGTGTGGGTTGTGTTTACTTTCCAAAAATTTTGCTCTTTAAGGACATCTGTTCTTTTTAGGAACATTTGTTTCCTGGGAGAGATGTAGGTCATGGTGAGAAAGGGGTAAAAGGCAAGTGAGAAATATTTGAGGAATGTGCATAACCTTTCTGATGGAACTGGGTTTATTTAGATGACTCCAGCGTGCAGCTTTGAAAGGATATTGCAAAGTGTTATGAGATAGAATGATAGAAAGATGAGCTGAAGCAGTGTTTATATTTATACACGTGGAAATAATGAAGAGGACATACTTTGGTGTTACCAGAAGCAGAACGATGAGGGTCTTGTGCTCCACCCTGAATGTGTGCATACAATCCTTTCCCAGGTCAAGTTTTGAAGACCCTGAAGCCCAGCAATCCTCTGGAATGAAAATACAACATCCAGCTTCTCGAGTCCTTGCTGCCAGCCAAGAGGCACACTTACAGTCACCAGACAAGTCAAAACAGAAGGACTTAGAGCCCATGACACTAGGAACAACCCCAGAGACTATTGAAATAGTAAGTAATTTATGTTAAAAGTTTGGGAACCATTTTCTTGTAGAAAATTCACATCTTATAAAACTCAGAACAGGTGGGTCTCACAAGCAGAGCAAGAACTTGGCCTCATACTCTTAGTAGCAGCATATGGTAGGATCCAAATGAAAGTTTGATGGAATTCAGAAGAATTTTACTGTACTTTAAAATGCTCTTGTGATCACTTATTCCAGGCTGACATTTTGAAATGCTTTTTCCTTACACAGAGTTGTTTACACTTCAACTCAATATTTGTGGAGATATTTTGGTCATAAATTAGGTGTTCTATAAAAACTTAAGACCATGGTTTGCTCTGGTGTATGTGGTGTAAGATTTTAAATTTCTGTTGGTAAAAGGAGCTGCACATTCAGATTTTCTTAAAAACCTTTAATTCTGGTGCTGATAATGTAAAAACCACCTTTTTTGATCATTAGAACTCAGCCCAGCTTCCAGTGACACCACTTTTTTTCAGTGGCTTCTCTGGTATTGAATGGTGACCCCTTTCTTACTTCAGGCCAGCAGTGCTTACTGACTTCAGACCATTGGTTCTCAAATACATGAAGGTTCCTTTAAGTTCACCTTAATACTGTGCTTCATTTATGTTCTTTAACAATGCTGTTGATACCATCTTGCAAGGAATTAGCTTGACAAGTTTTCAAGCTAAGTTTTCAATGTATGGAGCATTGCAGGTGCTGAAGTGCCTGAAGTCTATTTTTTTCATTGTACTTCTGTCCAGCTTCATGTTATGTATTTATCCTGAGCATGTTACAATTGTGAACATATCTTAGTTTATCTCCAATAAGCAGCAGAAGATTTGGAAGAAGAGTCTTGCTCGCTTTTCCCCTCAGTTTTGGTCATCTTCAAAGCTTTTGGGTTCATTTAGAGATATCAGAACAGAACAAAAGCTATTGTTTGAATAAAACACCTGATAGTAGATGTATTGAGAGTGTGCTGTGGTCCATGGCTTGAGAACCATGACTTTAAAGGTCTTAATGTCACTAACTACGTATTAGTCTTAAAAAATTTACTCAGTTTTTAAATTGGGAATAATTATTCTTGATGTTTGTCTGTTACATCTATGAGTTGTGTATTCCAAAGGAATTTTCTATGGAAAATGAAATTATGAGAAATCAGGGATTTGCAGACACATTGCTTTTAGCCTGCATTGCTTGGGCAATCTCTGTTGATTATTCTACACTCTTCTTATCCTTCAGACATCTCCTGAAGACTCCTTTGTCTCTGCTGATGCTCTTCTCAACAGGATATCTAAGAAAACATCAATATGTGATCAACCTGAATATCTAGATCCTGACTTAGCTGAAAAGAACCCCCCAGTATTTGCTCAGAAACTTCAGGTTTGTAGCAGAAATATAAATTTCTCTTTTCCTTTGTCTACAATCTGTAGAGAATGCTTTACCTTGCGTGAAGGGGGTGGGAAATGGCTTGGATTGGAGGATGGGAAGGAAAGAAAGCAATGATTTGATTCTTCCAAAGTAACTTTGGCCTTTCAGGAAACTAAGGAAGAGAAATGTTTTAATTTAATTAATGCAATACCTAAAATTGAACTTATATGTCCTTAACAGTTTCATCTATCCAGTAACACTGATGTATATATTTTGAAGAAGTCTTTATAAAGACAACTCTAGTCCTATAAAACCCTAACCCTGTAAGGCTTGAACACAGGTCTCCATGTGTGGAGTATTACGTTGACACCTGACCTTAGTAGGTCTGTATCTGTAGGTCCATTTTTGGAGATGAAGATCCTGATTCTTCTGAAATGGAAATTAGGATTTACTCTAATAATCTATCTGATGCATAATTTGGTGTGGCTTCTTCTAGTAAAAGCAAATCCATCTGCAGAACAGTTCTGTGTGTCAGGACCTATTTTCCAGAATATTCACAATGAAATTTCAAAACAGCAAAGGTTGAATTGAGGGTGGCAGCTGGCATAAATTTGCATAAATGAGAATGGAAGCAGAGAAGTGTGGGAAAAACAGTTTGAACTGCAGAAAACATTTTTTTTTTTAAACAAACACATTATCCAAAATTATTGTAATAAAAATTGCCTAGAAAGCCATCTCAAAAATACCCACAAAGTGACATTTTGCACCAAAGCTCAAAACAAAGGTGGTAATATAGGATATTTGTCACCCAGGAATTGCCAGAATTGCACATCAAGATATAACATTCAATTTTTTTCACGTGTTAAACATTTTCGCTGTGTTCTTAATACATTTTTTTCTGTGGATTACTGACGACCAAACACTCGACAGGAGGAGTTAGAGTTTGCTGCAATGAGGATAGAAGCACTGAAGTTAGCCAGGCAGATTACCCTGTCTTCTTTCCGCTCCTTAGATGCCGAGGTATCTGTTTTGTGCCTGCCATGTGTGTGAGTGTGCACAGAGACTAAGAAACAGAGTGCTGCTTTTTCTTTAACAAGGTAACTGCTCAGAGTGCAGTGGAAAACTAAAACAAGCACCAAAGCGTGGCATGGAAGAGCATGCTGAAAGCAGTACTGCACACAGAAATGCTGTCCACCAATGGGAAGATTAACATAAGCAAGTTTGTAGGCAAAAAACAGGCATACACTTATCACAGGAGAAAGATTCTGCAACCAGATGGCTTTTTTTAAATGTTTATCCTAAGGTTTGTCCTAAAATACTTGGTAACAAAACAGTATCAAACCTACTCCTTATAAGAATGCTATAGATTTTGGCTGTTGGTCTCTGCAGCTTGAAACCCAAGTACAGAAGTGAGAAGTTGAGTCAACCCTACCATCAGGCTTCAGAAGAAAGAAACTGCAACAGATCTGCAAGGGCTGTAGAGCTACCAAGGGAAAAGGGCTCCCTAACACAATGGGGTTTCACTCATGAAGATCTAAAGCTTTCCTTTAATTGTCTTTTCTCTAGCACGCTGGCTAGTGCCTCCTCAGAGTGATGCATTGCATGGCTTTAGAGACGCGTGCAGTCCTTACTGCCTTTACTGCAGGACAGAAAAGCTTGCAGTGATGCACTATGTTTGGTGATTAGCCAGTTGTGCAGCTAGTTTGTGTTGTCCTTTGCGGTGCTTTTAACAAAAAAGTCAAACAAAAAATGTTAATGGCTTTCCTGGGAGGTGCTGTCAGCTGAGGAGGATGCTGATGGAGTGGCAGTGTCCTGCTGCAGTGAGTCATTTTATTCCAAACGAGGGGCATGTGCTGTGGCACATCCTTCTCCAGTGACCTTTCTTATGTTACAGTGGCCATTAATAAGTCAGGAAGCTTTTGGCTTCGTCCTGTACCATCTTAATATTTGAGTACATTGCATCATAACAACATTTGAGCTGATGACAAGGTGTAGTTTCATGGTGAAATTTATGAACTCCTTGGAAGTTAGAAATGGGGGACAGGCTTCATGTGAATTTAATCTTTGTAGCAAAGATAGCAAAAATGATAAGTAGGGATGATGAGGGAAAAATAAGCAAAACTCCACCCTCTGGCACAGAATTGGAAGCATCTGGACACAAAGTCCTGTCTCAGTCCAGCCACAGGAGCATTCTTGGCTGAACAACATGGGTGCCATGCTAGGCTGGAAAGGCCTTTTGTCCCTGTATAACTCTACTGGTTAGGTGGGAGATTGCTGATATTAAATTAGCCTGTGGTGGCAACCCTTGTGACCTGCAGTGACTAGTGGCCTGGATTAACTATAATAGGATCCACCAGATGACTGCAGTGACTTAAATTCGGACACTATCTGGCATGATTTCCTTCTGGTTGGCTGCCCACAGTTTTTCTCTTCATGTTTTATAACCAAGGTTAGCATTTGCTGAACCATTACAGGTTGGATAACAAACAGTCCACATTATTATGTCCTATCACCATTTTTCTATAAAGTTGCAGGCATAAATTAGGCTTGTTATGCCTCTATCGACCCGTGTGCACACATCAATTAGTTACAAGATAAGATCATTTGATATGCACTTAGCTTACCCTTTGCCAGCACTCATACTAATTTTCAGTTAGGCTAAATACATATTCCCCTAAACAGTATGATAAAAGTGATGTATGATTTTCCTTGCAGAGCCTCACTTTTCTTTCATTCCGACCTTCTTGAAGTGAGCTCACCACAGCTGGTTAATCAATATACATTTACTCTCTGTCTGATCAGATATCTGGTTTCTGTGCAAGGTGCTGGGAAGTGCAGGGGAAGTGCATTGGGCTCTCAAATATTTACACTAAGATCACAGTGACCTACATCTCGTAGTAATTCCCCTGCAGACTCTAATCTTTCTGTGTGAGGTTCAGTGGTTTATAAATCCCTATGCTTATTATTACCCCAATTAACTGCTTACTTTCTTGGCAGTTAGACATTGAATTTAAAGCATAGGTGAAGTTACTTGAGGTAATGTTGTCATCCTATTGGGCTGCTTTGTTTTCAGATGATAGGAATACTTGAAGGCAGAAAATAATAGATAGGAAACTGGCCATCAGTTTGTAAAACTGGCTCTTAGATAAAACCAATCAGACCAGTGCTGGAGACTGTGACAGAGGGTTAGTTATGCTCCTGCCAAAGAAAGAAGCCAGCCAACCCAGCTGGGGTTTGCATGCCCTGCTTCCAGAGTCAGGACAATGCTGGTTGGGCCAGTAGACACCAGTGATTCTGTGAGCTGGCTCAGTTCCAAGAGCTTTTACAGTAGTTATTTGGGGGAAAATATTTGGCTTATTATACGCCACTAATAATTCTTTTGTAAAATTCACTCAACTGCAGGAGAGAATTAGAAAAACCATGTTAGCAAGGTATTGGTGACACACTGGAACAGGTTGCCCAAGGAGGCTGTGGATGCCCCATCCCTGCAGGCATTCAAGGCCAGGCTGGATGTGGCTCTGGGCAGCCTGGGCTGCTGGTTGGTGACCCTGCACATAGCAGGGGGTTGGAACTGGATGAGCATTGAGGTCCTTTTCAACCCAGGCCATTCTATGATTCTATGATATACAGAAATCCCTGAATATGTATTAAATTCTTGAAATGTGGTGGTTTTTTTTTGTTCCCTTCAAATTCTTCACCATATTGACAGTTACTTCCAAAAGTTTTTACAGGAGCTTGGGGAAATGTGTGTTTCCATTGCCACAATTAATATTTCCCAGCAGTTTCCTCACGAGACCCAGCAGCTCACACGGCAGGAGGCTTTTGAAATAAGATATGTGTGGTTCAACAGATTGAGCTGCAGGATGGCCTTTCTTCTGAGGGCAGCTTTGATGCTCTAATGGCTCTTTGTCGTCTCTCAGTTTTCCTCTTTGGGTTTGAGTAGGAAATAAAGTGCATTTTTTGAAGCTGGAATACTGAATTTCAGCAGCAGAGGTCTGGTTTCTTGCCTGTTCTACTGAGATCTGTGGGCAGCACCATTGTTTTTATATATATGCGTACACAGAGATGACAGAGCTTGTGCCCAAGATGTGTTTTTCCTGCATTGTCACTGTATATCAGGAGAAATCTGGAGAATACAAGCTGTGTAATTTTGGTAGATCCTGTGGTGCCTTTTGCTGCACTGTGCAAAGCCACCGGGTTGGAGGTTGTGCCTCCTTGTTAGAACTGATCAATAGTTGGTGCGTGTGGTAAAATGTGACAAAAAGAGAGAGGGATGGCCTGCAGCTGAAAGCACACAGTCAGATGATTCCTGTGTTTAAAAATGAACAAAAGATAGAGAACAAATTAACAAGTCTCCTATATAAACAGGCGTTCAGCGTGGTGTTTTGAAGTGCTGTTGAGCTTGTTATTGCTCTAATTAAATTTTCTTGTCTCGTCTTTTAGTGTTGCTGGCACGGTTTCAGCATGTTGCTCACAGATGTGGAATTCATAACATCTATTCCTGTGTTTTCCTAGCATGTCATTAGGACAGCTTCTTCAGGAAGGTGTGCTGTGGGAGCTCAGAAAGGGCTGCAAAGGAGTAACTGTGGCTTTGGATCCTTTCTGTTATTCTGGGATACATGAGAAGGGCTGTGAGCAAATGAACCATTCATGGGATAAATCTGAGAGTCTGCACTGAGGGCAGTGCTGTAGGGGAGGAGGTGCAGCATTTTGTTTGGGGAAGAGTATGCAGCAGCTGCAGCATGAAAGCATTTATATCCAGGCCATCAGCGTGCTGGATATGGTGTTTCAAGATGTGGGTGTTTATAAACTCCTTGTGTTTTTTTTTTTAATGCACTGTGATGTGAGTTGTTTACATCTCGAGTGTTCACAGGGTCAGGCATCTCAGTTTCACTCGGCTCTTTTGGGCTCTCTTCCTTATTCTGTATCCTTCTGACCCAGTTTTGACCACCAGCATGAACAAGATTGGCAGCTGCTAACAAAACATCATTTAACATATTAATCGCATGCTAAATAACCAGCAGCAATGTGCAGCAATGGCAGCTGCATATTCACACTTCTTACAAAATACTGTTTATGACAGAATATATCAGCATGTGAGAACTAGGAAGATAGACATCTCCTCACTTCTGTTTTGTTTTTTTTCTCTCGTCTATTTTTATGGAAGCAGAATTCCCTTTAATGAGCTCTCTGCCCCCCATTCTAATTTCCTCTGCTGACATGTGTTTCTTGTGGATGCTTTCATGACATTTCTGTATCAGGACGTAATAAAATAAGCTCCTAAAATATTGTGGATGATGCACTATCTTTATTTTCTCTCTGTAAGGCTAATTTAGTTCTCCTGATGCTTACTATGAATTTTAAATGTGCATTGAAATGTTCCTGTCAATGTTACAGCTGTTATAGTTTAGTAGTGCACTGGCTCTCAGTCCTAGCTCAGGACCCTGGTGCCTAGCACACAGAAAACGTCAGCTCAACATGTATTTAATGGCTCATTTCTTTGTATTTAAAAAAAAAAACAAACACACAGAGAGAACCTGCTATCCCAGCAGATGTTTCCATCTCTAAAAGTGTGCTGTACTCACGGATCGGCGCTTCGGATGCAGAAGGCACCACGAGTCTTCTCTACCCCCAGCAAGACTTGGATGCTGCACTACGACTTGCCAGAGCAGAGGTAATTTTTCAGAATTGGGAATAGGAAATATGTGGCACTCCTTCTTTTCTGTTTTCTCCCAAACTCTTCATATTATTATTACATTTACCATTCTTGAGACTGTTCTCAGCGATTCTAAAGCCACGCTGGAGGCTACCAAAGCAAAAAGTGCTACACTGTTTGGATGTAAATGAGAATCAGTGTTGGCTGGAAGAGACCTATGAAAGTCATTGAGTTCAACTTTGGGCTACTTCAGGACTGACCCAAAGTAAAAAAACATAATTAAGAGCAATATTCAGAAGTCACTTAAAAGTGGACAGGCATAAGACAACAACCACCTCTAGGAAACCCATTCCAGCATCTAACCATTCCAGTGTGAATGAAAGGAGAACAAAGGAACGCAAGTCCTTCATGTATAAAATCTCATGGATAGTCAGCCCTACATATGGACGAGAAGCAATGGAACCCCCTTAGAGAACAAATCATGGGACTGTATTCCAAAGCCACGGACAAAATTATTTCAGTCTTGGCTGCAAATCAGGCATTGTATGAAGTATTTTTAAGTGATCATGATTTCACATCTGAACTTCTTAAAATTGCACCTTACAGTCTGTAAATCAACAGGGATGCTCGTATTTGAACCCATTGTGCCTTTGGAAACTGTACCTGTATCAGTCAGAATTTGATATCCATACACTGTACACTTACTTTGTTTCCTCCTCGATGGATCACTTCTTTTCACTTTTCTTTTTCCTTGTTTCAGATTGTGGCCAAGGAAAGAGAAGTATCTGAGTGGAAAGAGAAATATGAAGAAAGCAGAAGGGAAGTGATGGAAATGAGGTGAGTTATTCACTTGTCACTAATCACAACAATGTAGTCTCATTTGAGGCTGTGGACAGCACACAGAGTGCCATGGCCATACAGATCTTTGGCTAACTGAAGTTGTTTAGTTATATTTAACTGCAGGCTTCAAACTGATCCTAAACTTGTTGAAGGTAATCGTTGTGAACTTCTACATTGCTGTACTGAGATAAGGAGTCTTAGCCCAGGTTAATATAAGGAAAGAGTTTTCTCCAGTTTGCGCTGCTCCCCTCACTTATGAATTCTCACATGGGCTGCATTGTGGTGTTTTTGTTGCCTGACTGAATGACTGTGCCTGCAGTGTTGGTAGAGGTGTCTGTCTGCTAATTTAAAGCTGTCTTTCCATGAGAAGTTTTGCCAACAGAAGAAAGGATGTGAAGGTTTGAATACAGGTATGAGCAGCAGAGGCTCCCTTCAGGAGATTATTATAAGAAGATTCTTTAACATTAAAGAACAAAAACCCCATTGCCAGTAGGAAAACATTTCTTGCAAGGGAGCCACTCTTGCCTTTGAGTGTTGACTTTCAAAGAGTTTCAACTTCCTTCTCTTTGAACAGAATTTTTAATTATAACACACACACTAAACTTGATTTCAGTTAACCAGTGTTGATCTTGGATTTTGCTACCCAATTTGAGAGCTGACAGAAGCACCCTGAACTTTTCAGTTCTTTCTAGTTGTATCTGCTTGGTTTGGCCTTTCTTCCCAGCCAAGGTCCCTGGCATTTGCAAAAGTGATAAACAAAGTCACTGTAGTGGATAAAGTTGCTCAAAGCATCACCTTTGCTTGCCATCTAGTCAGCTGAGGGTTTCAGCCATTCCTTTTGTACACAGTGGTAATGCCTTAAGAACAGCATACAGATAAGTTTGACCCATTCATTGACCTGAATCTGAGAAAGTCATCAGTTTTAAAAGAGACTCTTTAGGAGTATTGTGTGGAATTTTTAAAGCCTATTATTTTCTGCCTTCAAACAGACAGGCCCTCTCCCTACCTCTGTCTTTAACTCATAAATAAAAGAGATCAGACAGATTATTTTAGCATCTATCTTTCAAATTATAATTTCCATGGTGCCTTCTGAGACTGAGTTTTCTGTTTTAGCACCTGCTTCTTCCCAGAGTTAAAGACCAAGTTAGCTTAAAGCAAAAGCCAGAAAGCTGTATTTAGAGGTGATCTGCACCTGCAGTTTCTGCTGGCATCCAGGAAACTTGTGCTGATGGAACAGGGGTAAAAGAACACTGTGCTGCACAAATCAGAAGCACTGGCAAAGGTGCCAAGTGTCACACGTGGCAGATTTGAATAGAGGAGCACAGGGCTCTGAGCCAATGCATCTTAAGAGAGGCATCTGCAGAAGGCGAGGGCAGCCCCTTTATGTCTTTGAGAGGAACCATCTCCCAGCACCCGCTGAGTTCTCTCACCTCTCTTGCTCTCCGCCTGGGAAAGGAACCAAAACCCTGGCATAGCTCTCTCAGTGCATAATGAGGCAAAATGGAAAGGAACTGCTGCAAGCAGTCAAATCCAAAAAACAAAACATGGAATGAAGAAAACCTAGGAATTATGTAAAGAATGACTCAGAGTTCATTGCACACACTCCAGTGCAGTACTTTGTCTATTTTCTGGAGGCTGCCAGGGTACACACGCCTGCTGGCTGCAAACAGGCACTGGCAGAGGTTGCTTATCCCTTAATGAAAGGAGAGCAGAGAGACAGAGCGTCTGACACACTGTAGGATCTGTTCCTTTCTGTACCTCGCAGTAATTTGCTTCTGTGTCTATGTCCTCAATAAGATTTGATTGTGGGAAAAAAAAAAAAAAAGCCTTATGTAAGCCAAATTTCAACAGGCAAATGGGGAAGAAGTCATTTTGTCTCAAAATGATGAAATGTGCATGTGTACACCAAGATTTCATTGGGAAGATTAAATGTTGAAACAGTTCATGTGTGGTAAATTAGAGATGTAGAAATTAGACCTGACATAATTGGAAGAAAGGAATGAAGGGAAAGGCTGGGATTATTGAGTTGCAAGCACAATAGCATCACTTTTTCTGCCGGAGGAGAAGCAATGCTTCTTTATGCAAGCATTCCTTGTTCTACCTGAAATATCCCGAGTTTAGCCAAGTTTTCAGCAAAATGTCAGTGTGAAAGAGATTCCAAGCTGGAGGAGAGGAGCTGAATGAGAAGTTATAATAATGATACAGTACATATCAAGCAGATAACCAGGGCTGTGCCCAAGGGTAGAACCAGAGTCAGGACAGATATGTTTAAACATGGTTTGTTGGAGGTCTGATTGACCATACCTCAGTGTGGGATGTCAAGCAGAAGACCTTTTGAGAGGTAGCCTGGGATTTCTGTGTTTTCGTGACTTATAAAACTGTGGAAAACCGAAGGTCTAAAATATAAGAAATTAAACCTATGTAGCACCTCAAAGTTGAGATGCTCCATCACAGACAGCATCCTGGGTTCCCCACCTGCAATGTCTTTTCTTTAGTCTGCTTGACAGAAAAAGAGCTTTGTGATGAATACGGAGCAAGCCTTGAGAACTTCATTTTCCAAATCAAATAGTATTGAAATCGCTGTGACGTTGTAATATCCACATTTACTGATGAAAATAAGAAATGGATCTTTGACTTTGCTGCCTACTTATATGGTGCAGCCCAGGCTGGGAAGCTGTATGGTGTTCTAACAACGTTTAGTGTTGTACTCATTGTCATTGGTCCTTGGCTTCATTTTCTAAGATGATCAAACTTCCTGAAGGTGGCTGGTACTACAAGGAGATGACACGGCTTTCAAATCCCTGCTGCTTACCTTTTATGTGTAAATGATCCCACTGTCTGGGGTCTGTTTGTGATCCAGATTTCACACATGCTGTGCTGGTTTTGGGGGATCTCCACAGCTTTCTCCTTTCCTCACTGACTTTTGTCCCAGGATTTCCCCTTATCCTTACTGCAATCTCACTGTCTGCAGCAGACTTAGCTGAAATGGAGCAAATCAAAGCGAGCAAAGACTTCAAAAAATACGTATTCAAATACCAGTGGGCTATTTGGAATATTCACTTCAGATGAAGTGTGCAGTAATTTTGTTTTTCATAGGCAATCCTATGTGGCTCACAAATCAAAGCACAGATCAAGCTAGTCCCATTTCATTAGCTTTATTTGGCTCTGGAAAGGGATGGATCATCTTTCTAAATCACATTTAATCTGCTTATTTTGGCTAACCTCTTTTCAAGAAGGAAACTCAAAGCCTACTGCGAGCCTGCGAAATAAAATAGTCTTAAAAGTAACATTTTACCCCCTCTGTTTTTCAAAAGATGTGTGAAATTGGACACGGTGGGCTTTGTGCTCCATAGTCGAATGTTTTGGTTGTGTTGTTTTAAGTGCTGATGGGTCACTTCTTCACGTTTGGAGAGTGGAAGAGTGGATATATTTTGGATGAGGGCCAGCTGTACCCCTGTTGGATTTACTTACCTACCAATGATAGCTTTGGTTCATGTTTACATTAAAAGTAAGCGGACACGGAGAATAAAGAGGGGATGGAAGAAGGCAATAGGAAAAGGAGACTTGATGCAACTCTGAAATTAGATTGATGCAATTTTGTTTATGTTTAAACTGAGATCAGTAATGTACTTCGGGTATGATTCAAAGTAATTCCTTTTCCCTCCCCATGCAAGAGCGACGTTTAAGCTGTCAATTTCATTTGTTGCATAGGAATAAAGAGCATATAGAAGTGTGGAGCAGGATCTGTACCCTGTTTTTATACCAAAGTTCAGTTATTGAGTAGCATTATTTTCTACATAATTATTAGCTATTATGATGTTTGCCAAAAGTTTTTCTTTTTTCTTTTTTTCTTCTTATAGGAAAATAGTTTCAGAATATGAGAAGACGATTGCTCAGATGATAGGTAGGTGTTCCTGCCATGAAAGATGCTGTCCTGCACTCTGATTTTCTGAAGAGGGCATAGAAATGGGATTTAAGTCTGGGGGCTTCATTTTGATGCCAGCTCCACCCGCTCATGCTGCTGGGAATCGGGATGCATCTGAGGATCCATTGTGTGCTTCTAGGTGGTGATGTGAAGCTGGTGCTTCATTTTACAGAAATAAACCCTGAGGCAGTCCAGGTAATGCAGAAAGGTCAGGGCTTTTTCTTCTGTGTCAAAGCAAAGTGTCCCATGGGAAACATGTTCAAACACTGCCCAGCATTTACAGGTATCTCCAGGAGAGACATAAAATGACCTGAAAACCCTGTAGTCATCCGCTCACAGCTGTTTAACAGGAGATACCAAACTTAGCTCTTTACAACAACAGGGATTATCTGTGCTAAGTGCATTGGTTGGACCAAAACCGAGATTAACTTCAATCCCAGCTGAGATTGTGAGTGGCCAATCCACCTCCCCAGCTACTGACATAAAGGTCTCCAAGCTATTTGCACAATCTATTGCAGAAGTCAAGAAATTATTCTTCTCACTCCTCTGGGAGAACTGTCATAGAGAGCACTGCATGCCTGCAACACAAAAGGCATCTGTGCATCTTTCTAAAAAGGTTTTAACACAAGAAAGCCTTCTATCACAGCTTTTGAGTTCTAATATATATGTATGTTTTACCCCTTTTAAAATTGGCATAACCCCCAAGTTGTTGGTTTCTTCTCCATTGTTTTGTTAGCATTTGATGCTTGAGTTCTCTCTAAATTCTATAGCAGACTTGCTTATCTTTGCCCAAGGAGAGCAGTGGGAGGGGCTGTTAAGTGCCTGCTGCTTTGCTGCCTTCTTGCATTTCACAGCCCATGGGAGGCACCCCAACCTCCTTTCATGAAAAGGGAAAAAAAAAAAAAGGGTCTAGAAATAAGTCTTCATCTGTGTGCTTTGTTCTCTGTACAATGTTCTGCCTCCATTGCCTTTTGTGTGTAAACCTGAATGGGTTTGCCTGCTTTCTGATGTAACCTCTGTCATTCTCATCATACAAGTGTTAAGGCAGGAGTGGTCAGACTATGCCAAGAATTTGATTCCCTTTATTTTACACTGGGTGTACTCTGGTGCTGCTTCATGCACAATTATGGATATTATCAAGCGTGGTAAAGAATCAGGGTCACAGTCTCCAAAATGCAATTTTCTTCTTCAAACACTGGGGACATTTTTTCCTATTTTATGTGTCCTACTGCTGTCAAGTGATTCTTTTTTTTAAGCAGTTTGATCTGAGTGCTTACAGCATGTAGGTCCTGTATCTACCCTGTGCAGAGCTGCCCAGGAACTCTGCAGGGAGTTCTTCAGCTTCAGTGGCCATTTGTATGGACAGACACAGGACCTGCCCCATTCTCCCCAAGCATCTGCATGCAGCTAGCAACAGAACTTTCTTTTGGCTGCAAACCCAAATTCTTTTTCAAGAAATGGGTTAAACGTATGTATATCAGCTGTGAGTAGTGCAATGAGAAGGTATGGAACAGAGATTCTAAGATAACAGCACAGCCATGGCATGCATGGCAAATTCTGCAGTTGCCAATTCATCATCTTTAAAGAAATCAAGGATATTAAAGCATCGGGCCTTTGGCCACTGAGGAAATAGAAAGAATTTCAGACTTTTAATTCAAAGTATCAGCCAGAGTCTTCCAAGTGATGTACAGCAAGTTTTTAAGAGTTATGGCTGTAAATAACATAATTTGCCATCCGTTTTCAAAAGAACTGAAACAACAGCAGCGACACAGAAAGCATGTGCTAATTAGAGCAATATGCAGATTTTACAGCATGATAAATGTGAGGCTGCTTCTCCCTGCATTTAGTGTAAATTTTCCATCTAATTATCCCACTTTCTCCTGACATTTGCTGTAAATTATTGTCCTCTCCGATGAAAGAATTTACCCAAATGCCACACTGTGAGGGAAGTGATTGTCTGCATGCTATTTGCATATACTTCACTGAACTGTTATCCCACTAACGTCTCCCTGCTGGAGCAAAATATGCATTTTCACAAAAGAAATGCCTCTGCTCTTTCTATTTATGACCTAACCCTTCTGAGCTATTTACAGAGCCCTCTGCTAGGAGGGCATTGCAAGCGAACCAATTTCACAAATCCCTTTAATGAATATTCAGCGTGGTTGAGCGATCCTGCTCAGCTTTTACAGACTGTCGTGTGTATGCAGAGTGAGCACTGAAAATATTTCATGCTAATGGAATAAGACTGTGGATGTGTTTGCATATAAAGCACTGAAAACATGCCCTGCAAGCTGTCATTGCCATTGATTTCAAGGGCTCTGGTGGATCTCCTGTTGCTGCCATGTTCAGAGCCCAGTGTTAACCCACCTCAGCTCATACAATCAGTCCCATGCTGTACAGGCAGAGCTTGCACGCTGTCAGTGCACAGACCCCTATGAGAGTCTCTGCATCGTTTCTTCCTGCTGCTTTAACTGTTCTTCCTCACACTCAGCCTCTGACACAGTCTCCTGCCCATTGAGGCTGGGCAGACAAAGGACAGCCATGCTGCTGTGCTGCAGCCTGGGCTGAGCTCACAGAGGCCCCTGCAGCACATGCACACTCACCTCCTCCCCTTCCAAAATCCTTGCTGTAGATTTATTTGTATTGTTGGATTTGTGATGTTGGGCTTTTTTTTCTCTCTTTTTTTTTTTTTTCCTGCTAAAAAATGTATCCGTGTACTTGTAAGCTGAAAGACATAATGAACTTTTCATTATGAAGACAAACAAATGTTATGCTTTGTGCATTACGGGTTGTTGCATTACTTATTTTCTGCTTTCCTAACAATTCCTGATTTTCTATTTTGCTTCCGTTTTCGTTGCTTCTTGCTATTTGCTTGCAAAAACAAACAGGCAAGCCTGGTAAGTAAAGCTTTTCACCAACTTTCACACCACCACTTTGCATTTTTCCTTTCTTTTGCTTTTGTTCTCCGTTTGCTGCATTCCCATTCAGTTATGTGATAATGCTGTGCTGAGCCTTGGGGCGGATCTGCTGCTCCTGTGGTGGTGGCCTCACTCTGTCCATTTGGACATCCGTAGTCCTGAGCATCCTTGTGGTGGTAGTGACCCACAGGCACTGTGTGGTATGGACGTGGAAGCCATTTAATTAAAATGCTCTGGTCACATAGCCTTTATAAACTGCCTTAGAAACAGTGTAGAAATAAGCAGCTGTAACTGGTTAGCTGAGATTGGAGCTGCCTGCACAGCTCCACTGAGCAGCCTTTTACTTAAGGCTAAATGACAGCTGCAGAGAGTAGTTGGTGGGTCTGCCCAGCCTCTGCAGCCCATGATGCTGGGAGGCAAAGAGCTCCTAGATATGAGGAGTGAGGCTGCATCGCTAGCTGCCTCAGCTGCCCTCCAATTAAGGAAGAAGTTGCTAAAATACCACAGTAATTTCAGAAAAAGTAAATGGAGATTCATTTATTGATGTGAGTTGTCACTTTGAACGCCTTAAAGCACTTGGTGATGTAGATGGCTCCTTTCTCCTGCATGGAGCTGTGAGCAGAGGTGCTGCCTGACACCGGCATCATTGCAGTCAGTGCTTGGGGGATGAGCTGGGCAGGTTGTATCTCCAGTGTGCTTACAGAAGGTTCTGCTGCAGCACGGGGTGGCAGATTCTCAGATCTCAAAGAATTACATAAATAAGGGAAGAGAAATCGATGGGTTTCTCTCTTTATTTGAGTATTACAAATAATCATGGTGTGTCTTTGAGTACTCAAAAGGGAGAAGAGTTATCAGAGTGATGGGGCATTGCAGAGCTCTGCACTCCTTGGTTCATCCCTCCCAAAGGTGTTTGTTTGTCACTGCCTGGGGCTTTGCTGGGCTGGCGCAAACACAGGGGACTACAAAGAGATTGAGTATGCAAAAGGAAGAGGTTAATTGCAGCTTGAGAATTCATAGCATGAACTTTGACATTTCAGGGTTGACCAACGCCATGAAATACTCTCTGATTCAGTCTCATTTTTCTCTTTGAGTGAAAAACTAAACACCCGTCAAAATATTTCAAAACATAGGAGGCTTAAATGAAAAGTTGTACATTCTAAAACTGCTTTTTTAGATGGGAGAACATTTTCCTTCATTTTAATTTCTGTCAGAGGTATAAGAGAACAGTAACATAAAGCTGCTCATTTCTCTGAGCTTATCTCATAGCAGCATCGTTCAAAGCAGCCCTTAAGACAGAGACATAAAAATCTTATTTTAGAATCTGCAGCCAGCAGTGTAACACTCAAGTAGGCAATAGCAGACGTTTTTTTCCTACTGTTATAATCTGTTCCAATTTATTACTTTGAAAAAAATTGTCTTCCATATGGATTTGGAATCCTGTTTTACTCTTCCCACCCTCCCTGCCTCAAATGTAGTAGTTAAACACTCTTTAAGCTAAGAAGATGCTCTCCACAAACCAGCTCTGCCCAAAGTCAGATTTCCTTCCTGGCATTTGTCTGCAGAGCTCCTAAGAAGAAAAGTTTACAAAGTTTTCCAAGGGGAGAATTTTGAGCTGGGCTGAATGAAATGAAGTGGCAAGTTTGCATGGGGTTAGAAAAGATGGTGGGAGATCACAACATGGGTCAGAAGTGGCAAATAATTTATTGCCTGCACTTGAAGTACTGCTGCATGTAATCTCCTCCAGCTTGTGCTTCTTCTGGCAAATGAGGAATCACAGAATCATAGAATGGCCTGGGTTGAAAAGAACCACAGTGCTCATCTAGTTCCAACCCCCTGCTATGTGCAGGTCACCAACCAGCAGACCAGGCTGCCCAGAGCCACATCCAGCCTGGCCTTGAATGCCTGCAGGGATGGGGCATCCACAGCCTCCTTGGACAACCTGTTCCAGTGAATCCAGCGCCTCTTTTGTGGGAGCAGCTGAGTTCCAAGTGAAATAAATCATCTGTAAGAAGATGTTTTCACCTTTTTCCCTGGAAATACAGTAATTAATTATCACTGTATTTAGCAAGCTTTTTCCAAAACATGATATCATCTTTGAGTAACAATGACGTTTGGATCTTCTGCAGACTAACTAACATACAGCACAGAGCACAGCGTAGTAGAAACTATAGATGATAGTGAAATCAGTGTTCATATTGATTTCTTTTTTCTCCCCCATCTTCTTTCTGCCAGAGGATGAGCAGAGAGAGAAGTCTGTCTCCCATCACACGGTTCAGCAGCTGATCGTGGAGAAGGAGCAAGCGCTGGCGGATCTGAACTCAGTGGAGAAATCCCTGGCAGATCTTTTCAGGAGATATGAAAAAATGAAGGAAGTGTTGGAGGGGTTTCGAAAGGTGAGTCACTCCTTTCCTGTTAGGAGGAAAGCAGAGAGGGCTCTCGTGTGGTGGTGAATCAGCACTGCTTCACATGGGGCACCTTTTTGTTTCCGGGCACAAGACTGATTTACTGCATTGCCCTGCAGTGTGCTGCAGGCAGGCACAACAGGAATGCCCACTGTGCTTTCTTTCTCTTTGAGAAAGAATAGCTTGTTCCTGTATACGATGGTACAGTTGCAATAAATATCACATACCTGCTGGATTTTACCACATATTGAGGCCGGCTTGCAGGCTGAGGGTTCTGGGAAATCTATATCTCCACTCAGAGATTATGTCTAAAGTGCATGGTGTGGTGTAATCCTCAAACAGAGGATTCCAGCCAGGTACCAAACACAAATAAAAGCACCATAAAGCTTTTTGCATTGTGCAGAATTGCTTCAGATGAAATCTCTGGGGGCATGTCAGTTGTCAGCATTGGACAGCCTCCTTACAAGTGCCTGAATGTGACTTGGATTAAATGTAATGTAATGTTTTCATTTCAGAACGAAGAAGTATTAAAGAAATGTGCGCAAGAGTATTTATCACGAGTAAAGAAAGAAGAACAGAGGTATCAAGCACTCAAAATCCACGCCGAGGAAAAACTGGACAGGTAATTGCTTATGCATATCTCCATTGGTATGCATATCTCCATTCTTCCATGCTGCAGGAAGGTCCCTGTGGCTGAGCCTTACACTCCAAAACTGCTCCTTCCAGACGCTGTGTTCCAGCTTCTGACCATAGCTAAAGAAAGAATTATTTTCACATAGAAAAAATCCCCCAGGAGGGGTCCATGTTGAGCACCTTAAAATTCTCTTTATGGAATATCTTCATGTATTTGGCAGGGAAGATTGAGGAAGAAGCTGTTAGCCAGACTTACACAGCTACAAAGGGCTGTGCTCAGATATTTGCATTTGCAGCTGATATTTGTGCCCCAGTGCTTTGCTGTTGCCCTGTGCTGTGTTACTGCCCTGAACATCAGTCAGCAGAACAGAGTGTGCAATTCAGAGCAGGCATCTCTCTGTTAATTCTGGACCCCTGGTTTATGCTGAGTTTGCCCGCTTGTGTTGATGGTGTTGTGCACTTGCACAAAAGTGCATGTAAATCCACAAGCCACCATTAAGGTGTGAACATCTGATTGTGCCTTAAGACAGGCAGGTCAGTTGGGATTGTTGTTGTTACCATCTTTAATGCTTTCGTGTAATAATCAAGTAAGCATTTCTAGAGTCCACATGCCATCCTCTAAGCCCAGGAGATGTCTGCAAGACATCACTAGTACTGATCAGTGCCTAAAGTAAAGCGAGGCTTGGATTTGCTTCCCAGCTGTGAATCTCATCTGTGAGAACTGGCGATCAGATTGAGAAACTTTCACAGAACACCTCCTGCTGAGTGGTATCTTTGACCCCTTCTCTTATAGACATAGAGAAAAGGCTTTGCAGACTGCTGAGCAAGAGAAAGAGCCACAAAAAGTCTCTAGGGGTGAGGCTCAGGCTGCCTTCAAAGATACACAGGAAGCAGCCCTGCCCATCTCTTAAGGGTATCCTGTCCATCCTTGGATACCCTTCATCCTCTCCTGCAGACCTCTTGACATGACAAGAATCTGTGTTTTTCTAGAGCCAATGCTGAAATTGCACAAGTGAGAGGCAAGGCTCAGCAAGAGCAAGCAGCTTATCAGGCCAGCCTTCGTAAAGAGCAGCTGAAGGTGGACGCATTGGAAAGAACACTGGAACAGAAGGTAAGTAGCAGCTCTGCTCTTTTAACAAAGTCAGGTTGGATGTTAGGAAAAATGTCTTCTCAGGAAGAGCAGTGAGGCACTAGAATGGGCTGCCCAGGAACACAGGGCCTTTGTGGAGATGTTCAAGAACCGTGGAGGTGGTGCAGGGATGTGGTCAGTGGGGATGGGTTGGAAGTTGGAGTAGATGATCTTAGTGGTCTTTTCCAACCTTCATGACTCTGGATCTAAGGCAGTGACATGACCTTTCCTCGGACTGTCTGCCTCCAGCTCTCCTTTGGAGCTTAGACATAGGTTGAGGTCTGCCCAAGGTCCTGTCCTGCTCCTCAAGCACAGCCAGCCAGCATATATCTCATGTTCTCTAGCTTAGCAAAGGAGCTTATTTCCAGTAAAATACAGCAGGTCCTTGCTTAGAGCCCCATGAAAACAGAATGAGAGTAATGCTATGGGGAACAGGCTGAAACAAAAGCATGCTATGTGTTATTATCATGTGCCAGGAGTGGCTGCTGCACGCTGGTCCTCAATCATCATGTGATTTGGTGCTAAGTTGTATTTACTGCAGTAAGATGAGCTCTGTGTGGAAAGAAGCAAGCATATTGTTTGAAGGCATTATGCACAGCTGCACTACACGTGCATATATATCATACATACATCTATACTTTTCTCAGTATTGGAGAAAATGCTGTTCTTCCACATACAGGAAAGCTTGATTTTTAAATACACTCAATATAATATTATTTTTCATGGTACTTAATACTGCCTTTTGTTTTCCAGAATAAAGAGATAGAAGAGTTAACAAAGATTTGTGACGAACTGATTGCCAAAATGGGGAAAAGCTAACTTTTAACCAAAATTCTGGACTTCAACACTGAGTGCAATATGACCATTGGCACACTGATGTCCATACATTTATGTGGACGGGTTATATTTTCACTTTTTCGTATGCACTACTGTATTTTCTTTCTAAATAAAGTTGATTTAATTGTATGCAGTACTAAGATGACTATCAGAATTTCTTGCTATTGTTTGCATTTTCATAGTATAATTCATAGCAAGTTGATCTCAAAGTTCCTGTATCAGGGAGATTGTCAAGTTCTCTAAGAAATTACAAATTGCTGATCCTAGCCTTCCCTTTGTACATGAGTTCCCATGTTGGATGTCTTTTGGATTTAATATAAACATGTATTACTTGCATGGGGACTCTTGCCTTAAGGAGTGTAAACTTTATCTGCATTTGCTGATTTGTAAAATAAAATGAAAAATGAAAAAAAAAAATCAAGATGCATGTCACTTAAATGAAATTCTCTATTGTAAATAAATTTTTTCGTTGGAAGTTGAAAACAAGTGGCTTTATTTTGTGTATTTTGCTTGCTGACTACTTTTGCTGTGCCAGGTACAGCGGGGTTTGGTAAGGAACTCCTTGCCCAATGATGGGATTGGCCACAAGGTCATACTGCCTGTGAGCACCTATTTCTATATCCTGCATTCCCTACAAATATATATGCTAGATTTGGACCTTTCTGTCCTCGGGTTTGAGCTTAATCCAATGGGAATGACTGATTCTCTCACCCTGGTCCAGAAGAGCACGTAGGGAAGTGAGGCTGTTTGTCTGTGTTGGGTGCTGTGACATGAGGTGGTTTTTAAGCAAATCTGTTGTTGAGTGAACACATTTTGTTCTTCCTGCCAATGGAAGAATTTGCTGCCACATTTGTGGAGATGCAGTGTGTGTGATTAGAAGTACACCCAGAATAAGCTAGATAAGCAGCATTCTTGCACACCTCCTTATCCTCTAAGTCATCCTCTGCAGAGGATTAAGTATGTAAGATAAGCATTAAAGCTTTAATAGCAAACAAACTGCTTTCTTTGTCTAATGGTGCATCTCTTGTATCTCCATGATGCGGACAGTCTTCAGCCTGGTTCTCATCAGCTCCCTTTTTGTCATCAGAAGTAAGTCAGCTCTCTTCTTCCTTTGTTCTTTATTCCTTATTTCCTGTTTCAGACGTGGCTGAGCTTCTCTGCTGTTCTGGGCTTTCCTTCCGGCTTGGTTGGTTTTCAGAGTGTTTTGTGTGTGTGGTTAGCAGCGCAGCATTTCACTTCTGCTATGGAATAGAAATATTGAGATGTTTGCAAAGAAATGTAAATGTGTTATCTCTGTGGATGGCAAATGTGCCTTGTGATCTGCACAGCCCACCAAGGGCTTTGTAAAGAAGCTGCACGTTCGCGTTTGTCTTTGAAAATTCTGTGTAGTTTCAACCAAAGATAAACTTTGGGAATAAGGAAAATTAGATTATAGCTGTCGTGTTTAAACAGATGCAAAAATCGTAAGATGTACTGTTTAGTCTTCCAGTGGAGCTGAATCTTTAGAAGACTCAGTATGGACCACAGTATGATTTTAGGTGTTCACAGTGTACTTTCTCACGGTGCTGTGGACCAAAGACCACGATGGAGGGGGAAAACCATCAGACTCCAGTTTGTTCTACAACTGTTACAAGAAGATGTGGGTGCAATCACAGAGCACCAGATATTCACCGTTCCTGGAGGTGTTCAAGGGACGTTTAGATGTTGTACTGAAGGATGTGGTTTAGTGGGGAATGTTGACACAGGTGGGCAGTTGGACTGGGTGATTTTGGAGGTCTTTTCCAACCTTGGTGGTTCTGTGATATTCTTGAGTTACGCTCAGTGCAATTGTAGCAATCATAACACGTCTCATTTTTTTTAATCTTTAAAGTCAGTTATAATCTTTAAAGGCACCTTAAAAAAAGGGAAATTGATAGGATTTGCAAAATATTTAGGTATTTATAATCTTTTAGCAATTTTCACATGTGCTTCAAGCAAAATCATAAAGTCTGCATGGATGGTATTTTAAAAGGGTTTGGTTGTTTTTGGTTTTGTCTTTTTTTTTTTTTGCAAACTCTTAACTACCACTACTACAAGAGTTCTTTTCTCTCCTAACGACAGGTGAAGCACTGCAGTGTTACACCTGTGTAGGTTCCAGCGATGATGACTGCAACAGACAAGGGACACAGCAGTGCCCGGGGCATTCCGATGCGTGTGCGGTCATGCGAGGACAAGCAAGTAAGTAACCATGGACAGCTCCAGCTCATCGCATCGCTAACAGCAGCAGGAAGGTCATCAGTGCTGGAAGGAGAAGAGCGTAGCCACTTTCCCCTCTAAATGAGCACTGTTTACAAATCTTGGTTCTATTGGCTTAGCAGCAGCTTGATGCCAAACGTGTGACAGTGGGATGGTCCCCGCTGGGTGGGCACTGCGGTGTGTTGCGTTGCGTTGCACTGCGTTGTGTGCTCACTGTGCTCTGTTCCAGGTGGTGTGATGAAGTCCTGCTCGTTCCGCTCCTTCTGTGAGAGGGCGATGAGGGATGGAGCCAGAGCACCTGGGGTGAGCGTCCACTGCTGCTACTCCAGCCACTGCAACGCCAAGAGCCGCGGCGTGAGGCTCGGCCCCTCCAGCGGCTGCTTCGTCCTCCTCCTCTTGTCCCTGTGTTGGCACCCACTGACGTGAGGGGAAACGGGATCCTGGAACTGCCTTTATAGAAAGGGATGGTTGTATTTACACTTACTGTATCGCATTACTCCGCATACCGCGTTTCTCAGTAGGAAGAAGCTGTAGGCAGACTTAGCTGCAGGTAGCAGCCTTGTAGTTAAGGTAAGGAGTGATGTGCTCCAACTGCTGTTTGCTGTTGGCATGCACTCAAAAGCAAGCTACAATTTTCAGGCACAAAGTGATTGAGAATTCTAGCATGCTCTTGAGTTGTTCAGAGAATATCTCCAGTCTGGACAAAGGCAGAAAACTTGATGTAAGAATGGTTTAGTATTGATACAAAGTGCTAAGAGAAAGCTACTAAGAGAAAAAAAAAATGTTTGGAAACACATTGTATTACATATATTTATAGGGATAAAAGAACTTTCCCAGTCTCCTCTCCTCTGATACTCGAAGATCTTAGCACAACACTGGAAGCAGCAGCTAAAAAAGCAGCATGGGTGCTGTTTTCAGCAGGTAATCTGCCTTCTGGAGACTGCCTATTTCTACTGCTACTTTTGGAAAGCTTTGGTCAGTCGCTGTGCTGTAGGCAGCTAATAAAACAGGTAACAGTGTTTTGGTATACCCAAATTCCTAATGTATTTCAACTGTGTTCTTCAGTGTCCTAAAGAATGTAATGGTGCATAGCCCTCCTTGCACTGATGTCATTAAGAGAGCATTGTGTGGTGGGTTATATAATCCTTTTAATTTTGCAAAGTGAAATTACATGGGGATGCCTAGAGAGCTGAGGAACTAAATTAACATGTTTAATAATCCCATTCATTGCAGTTTTAGCAAGTAGATGACCCAGAGTGGGCTGTGGCACTGCGCAGCTATAGCTGTGGTGGTGCCCAACCTGGGCCATAGTGATGTAACACAACGTGATTGCACTGAGCTGCTGTTGGGTCAGTGATGCTGGCAAAGAGCTGGCAGGAGAGGTGATTCATAGCACAGTGACACATAGGCAGGTGGTTGATCTGTGTAGATGTCAGCATCCAGCTGTACTGACCAGGTCTAATCTCCAGCACATGATGGCTTTCAGCCCAGCTGGTGTCACCTCATAGAGGTGGTCTTCCAGTGAGAAGTTCTGATTTTTGTTGCCCATTTGGAATTCAAGGAAGTTTATGGAACTCACAAACTATGTGACAAAGTAGATTTTCCGCTAGCTCTGTGTTGTGACTTCGTTTCTAAGTATTGTTCTTTGCAAGATCAGTACTAGGCAGCATGTGGTAGGATCCTGCACGTCTTCCAAAATTTGGTCAGGGTTCTTCTTGAGAGCTTTTTCAAATGAAATCAATGAATGCTCAGGGCACTGTGCCCCCACAGCTGCACTGTCTCCTTGTTCTGTTGTGCTCACTCTGCATGGATCCTTCCATCATCTTCTGTAGGCTGTGGGGTCAGACTGGGGCCGTTCCTTCAGGGTTTTGCTGGGAGGGGCTGTCAGACCTGGGGGTTCTGCTCTGTGGTAGTTGTTATCACAAGGATGACACAGCTGTTAAAAGAAAGATTGCTGTACTGCCACACCTTGGCTGAGAATATTAATTTAGGCTTAAATATCTCATATGTGTCACAAATCATTTGAGCTGATAAGAATTCTTCATTTCATTCTCAGTTTGAATCAGCTCCTTCAATCTGTTCCGCTACACAAAATAGGTATTGATGCTACCTTTATTTTCTGATTGCTCTGTAATGATAAAATTCTATCGAATGCAATCTCTGTAATGCTCCATGCATTTCCTTAAAGACAAATTAAAATATATGCAATGTCTGACAATGTCTCTGGATAAATGGGAGTGTTGTGATGGCCAGTCTCATCCAGCAGCCTCTGCTCCAGCAGGAGTTTCTCCACAGGGATCTATATCTCAAATGTGTTAGATAAAACAGCAAATGATTTCTTATGAAGCTTCTCTGCTGAAACCAGGTGAGGCAGTGTGTCCTGCCAAGCATCAGCTGTCACCGTGTGCTCCCACTGGGCTCTGCCATCCAGCACTTTGTACAGCTCTGATGCTTTTACTGCCTATTTATGAACTTGAATTGTTCACGTGTACTTATATCTATGAATGCTACACTGTGTTTGTTGGTTTATGGAGATGTGAGAGGTGTTTTGCAGCAGTTCTCGGCATTAACGTTAACAGGGAGATGAACACAGGGACAAAATAAATGGAATATTTTAAAACTGTCATTACTGTGAGTGTGCAAAGCTACGTAAGGCAGAAAATAATCGTCTTCAGTTCGGCTGCTCTGAAGTCTCAAAGTCTCATGGCTTCCTTCATGTTGGGAGCTGGGAGAGGAGGAGCAGAGCTGGCAGTGAGGTGAGCTCTGCTGTGACTCAGAATGGTGGCACTTCTGTTCTGCCCACTGGATCGGCGTGCTGGGTCAGTTGGGTGAGCATGGGGAAAAATTTAATGTTTATTACTGAAAGAACCTCGCTTACAACTAGCTGATAGGATGTAGGGACAGCCCAAACCAATAGTTTCCATGGGTGCTTTCTGTCCTCTTGCTATTGTCAGTGCAGACTGTGATTCCCTCTTTCCCATTCTTCTCAAACACTCTTAGGTCTTTTCCAGCCTTTGTGATTCTGTGATAAGGGAGGAGCTGAGTGGAATTGAGGTCAGAGAGAAGAACGTGCTTGTCAGCCTGGCCTGGTGGGAAGGAGGGCTGAGTATAAGCATCTCATTGGAGGTTCTTATTGGAGGTTCCTCCCATCCCTGGAGGGGCATCGTCATCTCCCACAGCAGATCATCCTCAGCCCCTTTTGCATCTTCTGGAGCCCAGGGGAATGCACAATGGGCAGCAGCTGTGCAGCCCTGCAATTGCTGCTGATTGCCTCCTGGCTTCAGCTGTGATGCTGGGAGCTGTGCACACCCAGAAGGCTTTCAGAGCTGGCCGTGGTGGGAGGTTGTGCACAATATGGGAAAAAAAAAAAAGAAAGAAAGAAAGAAAAAGAAAACTGTTACCATCACCCAAGCCCTTAAAAAGCCATCTTCTGTCTGCTCAAATCTCAGGATCTCTGTGGAAACTGAAAATAAAACTTTGCTCCTACGTGACCAGACACCCTGTGATCTCACCACTCCTCTCCTTCCCCATGGCTTACACAAAGCCATTTATGCTTATCCAAACTTTGGCTCTGCAGACACCCGGAGCTATTTGGGGCAAATCCCGGTGAGCTCCTGCAGTTGTTTTGCTCAGGATGAGTGGCAGATTACTGCCCTGGGCCAACAAATGCTCACTGC